GTGTTCGTACCCTGCTCTGACGCCGCAGTAGTGTCCTGTCGTTGCGTTATTGCCTGGTCAACATTTTCCCAGCTATAAAGCTATTGGATCTGCCACGACAGTCTTGACAACTCACCAACAGTTGAGTACCAAACAGACAGAGAACATATCGCCGGACAAAATCATGAAGACCTTTGCCACAACAATCATCACCGCACTCATCGTTGCTGCTGAAGGAGTCTACGCATTTCCGAGTACTGGTACGACACCGCTGAGGAACGAGGCAAGCAAGAAGGATATCCTTATCGGGTCTGGAGCGATCAATCCGATATATCTTAATGATCCGGAGTTCGCGGCTGTCCTTGCCAATCAATTCAACAGCCTGTCTCCCGAAAATGAGATGAAATGGTCGTTCATCAACCCGACCAAAGGGCACTACAACTGGGATACGCTCGACCACCTCGTGAACTTCGCGGAAGACAATAATATGGTGGTTAAGGGACATGGGCTTATCTCGAGCTGCTGTAACCCTGACTTCCTGCTCAACATCACTCACCCTACGGCCTTTCATACTGCGATGAAGACTCACTTTGAAGCAATCATGCATCGATACGACGGCAAGATGGATAGGTGGGACGTCGTCACCGAAGCCCTGAAAACTCAGGGAGGCGGCCTGAACAACAATACCTTCTATCAAGTTCTCGGACCCGGCTACATTGCAGATGCCTTCCGCATCGCCCGAGCAGCAGCCCCAGACGCCAAGCTATTCATCAACGAAAATCTAGTTGAGTCACTTCCTGGCAAGCGCCAGGAACTTTACAACCTGGTCTCTAGATTAGTGGCAAAGGGCGTCCCAATTGACGGAATCGCCCTGCAAATGCACATCACTGAAGTAGCCCCGAAACTGGGCGTGATCACGGAGATGGTTAGCTCCTACAAGGCGCTCGGATTGGAGGTGGCAATAGCTGAGATGGATGTTCACACGCTCGACAACGCGATCGAGACTGATACTTATGGCGTCGTCATTAGCGAGGCTCTCGACGCAGGAATCACCGACATTAGCTTCTGGGGCTTTACGGATAAGCACGCTTACACCTGGGTTCCGGGCGCAAAGCCATTGATGTTCGACCAGAGCTACAAGCCTAAGAGTGAGTTTTACGCCACTCACACTGCTCTCACCAACTTTGTCAACCGTTCTTAAGGAGTTTGAGCGCCGTCCAGCCACTAGAGATTGCACTTTCCAAGTCTGCAGTCATAGCCCTATAAATTTGATAGTAAACATGTTTGGAAAAACTGTCGAATACCAAGTCCGAATACATGGTAGAAACCAGGTAATATACCGGAAACATCATGTGACATTGGGTACCAGGCATACCATACAAAAGTGCATATTACAGTTAGTCATCATGGTCCGAACAGATTGTTGAAATAGCGGGTTTTGTCATTTTAGTTAGTTAGAGTTGTCAACATTGGTCATTTATACCATACATTGTTCGTACACCAGCTTTCCGTCATATATCACTACCCCTAAAGCTACTAAAAGTGGCAATCAAAAACTTATTTAACCCCTAAATCTAGTAATAGAGGTAGTGCGATTCGGAAAGGATCGCATGGTCTGTATTAGTTAGAGTCGCTAACTGATAGAAATCTGAACAATGTACGGTATGGATGACCGCTGAGAACTGTTAACTAAAAAGACAAAAACCCATTAACAATCTATGCGGACATCGATGACTGATGCACTTTTGTATGGATGCTTGGTACTAAGTGTCCCATGATTTTCTGGGTGAAATACCCTGTCTCAACCATGTGCTCGATTTAGTATTCGACACAACCTTTACTAGAGGTCTTAATGCTATCATGTCATGGTTAGCAATTTCCGGGTAACCCTCAAGTAAACAACCTCCGTATCCCGTGTGAGAGATTGTTTCGGTGGATTTGATTTATATTTGGATGAATGGGTTTATGTGGCATGCAAATGTAGACTCTACAAGCGCAATAATATGCGGCGAACGGCGTTGGCAATATTATCGGGTCCTTCACTGTTGTTATACATTTGGTTTATGATGTACAGGTCAGTGGCAAGCTCATAACCTCGTTGGGCCATAGCATGAGTGTTGACAAATGGCTCTCATTCAGAGTACCAATAAGCGCGTGGACCCTCGGTATTTCGCTTTCAAAGGAGCCTCTCATATACCAAGTATCGACCAGAGTGTTTACTAGATAAAAATGAGCGAGGATGACGAGCGAGAGTCCACGAAGGTAGTTATGGTCGCTTCTCTCAAGCGACGCTAAGAAAGCACCGGGGAGCGAATTCGGCCAGGACAGAATGGCTGCCTCTTCAAAGTCCAACTGGATCTCCTTGTCTGTCGGATTTTCAGTTGAAGCACATCCTAACACGGATAAAATGCGTGAATAAACAGATTCTAGGATGCGTATTGTCTCGTTGTGCGCATCCATAGCCCAGTCTAATGTCGTGGGCGGTGAAGGCTGAGATGTTGGCGTGCGCGAACAGCTAGACAAGTCATCCCAAGGATGTTCAAGTATATTCAGAGAAGCCTTGATAGAAGCGACGGCTTGACGAGCTCCGTCGGCAAATTTCAGCAGGCGGGGTGAGCAACGAGAAAGTCGAGACGGTGTATTAGATGATGTATCCATCCAAGACTCATCGCTATGCTGTAATGACAATATCTGCCGGAGCCGGCTGGTTTTCAAAGCCTGCCATTGGTCACTTAACACAGAGGTTACACCTCGGTTGAGGTACAACCAGTTAAGGCGTGGGATGGTAGTTGTGGAAAAAGGATCTGTCATGGCGCCGCTCCCCCCTTTGGTCGGCCCAGTAAGTGGGTTGAGGTCCTGAATCTTAAGGAATGCAAATGCAAATGCAACCATGAGAATTGACCCTGTGAAAACAGCTTCGGCATTTGAGGGAGAAATGCGGGACACGTCTTCCCTGAAGCCTTCCAGCCCTCTTTGATGATGTTCCATGATGATCGCCAAGTCCACAGTATCTGAGTCTTCGAAAACCACGGTCCTATTGGCATCGGCCTTCTGTTTGACCATGTGTATACCCCCTAATGCTAGGAGTAGATGCATCAAATATCGATTTTCGCTTGCTAATTCGGGGATAATATGCTGCCAAACTTTGGATCGCCTCTGGTGCAACGTCATTTCTCTTGCAGTGTATAAATGATAGAACTGAAGGAGCTTCAGATCATCCATTTTTAAATCTCCATCTCGGTGTTGGTGGGATTGGTTCGAGGTGATCGCCGGTGCTGTCGCATTTATTGACAAGGGCTGGATGCAACCGAGTAGGGGACCTTCATCAGACGGCGCGAAAGAATCCGGTAACATATATTCATCGTCTTTCTCTGTGTCTGCTCTTGATCTAGGAGGTTTTTTCAAAGTAACGCGCGGGGTAGGGTAGGAACAGGGTTCGCCTCTGGAAGAACATGTGCCACAAACGGGTTGAAGCTCGTCGCACTTAGGGAAATCAGCATTTAGTCGGCAAACAGAAACTACCAGGACTAGGACTAAGCAGGCGCACCTTAACCCTTCGGAATTTGCAAGGATAGCAGCCATTGCGAGATTTGGTGTGGCGGGCGCGATGCCTTCTCACAACTCTGTGACTGTCTGCGGTGTCGGAAGCTGCCAAAACTTCGATGTCTTCGTCCATTTTCAGGACACAAAACTTCTCTAATGGTAAACGAGAACATCCACCATGGTTGGCAACATTTGCGCGAAGTTGCAGCCTATTTTCGTGAGTAGTTGGCTAAGTAAAATCCGGCGATAAACCCATAATCAGGGCGGTCCGTAGCAACCAGAGACGTAGATACTAGTTAGCCGGTCTCCAATGACAGAAAGTGGTGTACGAACAATGTATGGTATGGATGACCGTTGTTAAGAACTGTAAAATGACAAAACCTGTTATTTCAACAATCTGTATTATGCACTGTTGTATGGTATGCTTGGTACCAATTGTCACATGATTTTCTAAGTAAAATACCTGTACTCCACTTGGTTGGTATTCGACAGTTAACCCGAGTGTCAGCCGACGTACAAGTGCAGGGTCTGACTGTGTCACCCCAGGCTGGTTGTCTGACAATGGGATATAACATAACTGCCCAACTGCACAACTCGCGCCAGTATCCAATCTTCTTTCCATAATTATTTTCGAAATAATGAGATTGAATATCCTACCGACGACCGGCATGGTCTTAGCCTCGCAAGCCATGGCTGCACTCTCTGAGTCGGGCCTGCAAAAGCGCTATCCCACAGGATCCTTCTCCATTCTTGCCTACGGTGTCACCCCTAAAGGAGCAAATATTTTTTATTCTGACGGTTGTTATAGTTTCACGCATGAGTCTGATCCCTATCTGACGCGATACCTAGGGCTCGCATATGTCGGGGATTCGTCCCAGTGGGTGTCTGGATCGGTGACAACCGACGTTACATGTAGGGTTTATTGTTCTTTTATCTCATTCGCATTTATGTTTTTCTTTTTTTTAACCAGGAGAAAGTGCTAATAATTTCTCAGTCGTCTTCGAAAACCCCCGACTCATCGCCACGGCTACTAACAAGGATTACACCTTTGACCCTGACACGTTCTTCTACATCCGTCCCACACCCAATATGGTGCTACCCGTGGGTTTCACTGGGAACGATGTCGATACACCGGGCGATGCGAAGGTAGATCAATTTCTTTTCTACGGCAGGTATCTCATGTGGCAAAATGAGAACGGACTCCTATGCGATTCATTCCGTCTGAAAGACACGGATGTCGACGATATTTACCAGCTCTACTGGGATACTTCGAATATTTATCCCCCCGGCTTCTTAATTCCGACCGTGAAGTCGTCTATTTAGAAGATATTGAATCTACATCTTGCAGTTCTTCGTTTTGGGAGCCTAGATGCCTATGTAGCCCCACTTAACATTATAGGTTCTGAAGTTGCTTGGCTCGCCAAATCCTGGTAAACTACACATTCAATTCGCAGGTATAATATATGGATTGTATATGATCATATTGTAGTTGATTCGGCGAGAAATGGGAAACTATCCCATAGCGGCAAATCCATACCCTCCCAATCAAACAAAGCCCCATCAATCATGGGAGGTGAGACAGTAGCAGCTGTGCCATCGTCTGAATGCAACCACGCATATGATGTGACACTCTGCGGTAGAAGTGGGGTCGGATTTATCGCTTCTTCTTCTTCTTCTTCTTCTTCTTCTTCTTCTTCCTCGTCCCCCTCATTTTGTGTCTGCGGTATTGCCGGGGTGTCGTTCAAGCTAAATATCCGAGTGACGTATTGACTCCGTCGCTGTCGGGCTTGGGCAGTGAGTCGCTGGCGCTGCTTGCTTATAGCGGCATCTAGCTTTGTTATTATCTCTAGGTAATGAGCTGCCTGGGCAGATTGCGACGCCAGCATGCGCAAGATGGTCAGGGCACCGCGGAATACATCATCAATCTCAGAATCCACGTCACGATGAGAGAACATAGAGAACCCGAGCACAAGGGCTGCGGCAAAAATAAACGCTCTGTTTGATGCATATTAGCTTCGAAGTTACTAGACCGGTATTCGCGGAGACGAACTTGAGAATACACATATTCCGAAGAAGAAGACCGGACCTATGAACCTCCAGACATGTTTGCAGCATGTATACGGCAGAATCGATACATGCTGATGCGAGGCGGGAGTGGGCTGGATCTTCCTCAGGCAGCTCAATAGGATCACCGGTCGAGAGGCTCTGGTGTAACCGGGTCAGCCGGACACTTAAGGCCGAGACGAGGAAAGGTCGGGTGACTAAGATCACCGCAAAATGATATGAACATGCAACGTGCATGTTCATAATTGTATGCTCTCGGAAAGTGCTCTGGTCTTTGTGTTCCAAAGACGACGTCCTTAATGATCGCGGTAGGTATTCACACCAGCCGTTTAATTTGCATAATAGGAGGTCTGCCTGCTGTGTGGATGCGGCCTTTTCACTGTAAAGACAGTTTATTATTTTGTTCAGGATCAAGGATAACTGATATGAAGCCACCAGGCCAGGATCAGTCGGTCCGGTCCCAATCCCACTAGGTTCAGGTCGATTCTCGGGCAATAGCGGTGATATAGCAGAAGGTCTTCCGAGGATCGAACTGACAAGCAAATCGAGAATACATAAGCTCATCCATAATCGTGATCTATTGGGGATTAGCTGGGCCAAGTGGATCTTGCGAGAAGCTTTTACCGTTCATTGCTCTTATCACTCTCATCGGGGCTTATTGACCCTGGAAAGTCTGCATGGAACCCAAGCGCCACTGCTGCTCGTGATGCCACTCCCAGGTACATGAATGCCGTGTTTCGCCGGCATGCCCCCAGCATATAGAAGGACATGAGTAAAAATACTCGGACTAAATCCACACTAGGATCTTCTAGCATGTTGGCAAACGTCCTACGTTGACCACGAGCAAAGTAAAACCGTTCCACTTGAAGGGTTTTTCGATCGTTCGGGTAGGATTGTGCTCCGATAGCAACCATAAGGTCCACGATGGCCGCCCTAGTCCTTTCCCGATCGGTTTTGGGCTCCTCTGGGCTAATCAATGTAAATGAAACATCAGCACTAAAGCTCAAATTGAAAAAGCCGCTCGTCTTGAATGTTGTCAGTGATTGATCTACCATTCATGATTGGCATTCGTCCTACCGCTGCGTGATAATTCTGGATAAATCGGTCCTTCTCATCAACAGTGCAACATTCTTGGGAGAAATTCAACAGATCATGATGAGATTCTGCTTCTAGCATATCTTCACTTCCCCCATTATGAGAGAACTGTGAGGGGCCGATATGTTGGGTCACTGTATCCCGAAGCAATTGTAGAAATGATAGAGAGGCGGCTTTCCCGACGTACACTGAGGACAGTGTCAATCGAATGACTTGCATGACAGTCGCAGCATTTCATACCTCGTTCCCCTTGCAGATTGCGGAGCATGCGCGGATGCGTCCGATGCGTAACTTCAGGGGACGATCCCGCCTGCAGCTTGTCGAACTCGAGATGGGGCGTACCAATATCATGAGACTGTGATCTCAACGGGGTTTGCAAATCGACTGTCATTTCCCTGCATGTCCGAGGTGCCTCGACTGTAGGTTGAGAAGGAGGTACAAGGCGACTTCGGAGGCCTGCATTTGGTAAGGACTTGAATGGAGTGCATGAGCGGTCACGTCCTTTGTGAATACAGTTAGTGCATGGGAAATAACCACTGCAGCGCTTTTTGGATGCACGACAGGCAGTGCATGCAGTGTTCGCCCGTAGCCGATTCGCTGGATGAACCTTGGGGCGTGGCATGCTTGAAGAGTCTACAAGTCCACGTGTCTGGGTTGGATGAGATCCCCGCATACCCATCCACTCAACCGGGGATAAAAGATAAGCGATAAGCGTGCGCGGCCCGACCTCCGTGGGGCTTTCGGAAGGGGCACTTCTGGCAGATGATTAGTTTTGGATAAGAAAAGGAGAAAGCCTTCTGGTAGTATTGCATATTTTGCATGTTGAATACCCTAAAGGAAAAGTGAGCGTATGATAATAAAAGTACTATACATTTATGTATAACAGGCTATTTCGGTGGAAACAACAGGCGCCTTCCAGATACCAACACCATGATTTTAGTAATAATACATATAATGTTGGATGCACATACACACGTATCCAAGGTGGCTTAGTTGGTGACTTGTTAATATTGCCCAGGTGTACTTTATGAGAGTCAATAAGGTGGAGGGGAATCTATACATTTTATAAAGGTATTTCACAACGTGTTTAGATAATATATTTAGATATATATTAGTTATGTATCATGTAAAGACTAAAAGACTAGTTATATATAGTTATGTGCGTATATAACACTATGACGATGAAAATCTTCCCAATCAGCGGTAAACAGGATTGGAAAGCAGGCTTGCCGAAGGAGACCTCGATTTCGCCGCAGTCCCAAATTGTGTGACACATAGAATTATACAAAGTAACAAAGTAATCAAGTAGTCTGTAATGAAAATGCTACGGAAGAAGAACAAAGTTGAAAATTTCTATAGAAGATCCGCCCTAAGCAAAAGGGTTGGCAGATGATTGGATCAACCATAAAGAGGCGACCCACCAGAGAATGGCCAAACAAAATAAATCGAAGCAAACCAGACAAACATGTGACACTCTCGCTTAGCGCTAGCGTGACCAGTAGGAATATAAATAAGCCCAGAGCCCCGGACCTTCTTCTGCTTTTCAAGCGACTCTACGTATGTTCACCCCCCCCCCTCTTTTACAGTTGAAAATGAATTTTCACTGTATGGAAACATTTTTACTGACCATTTCCACAGTTCAAAGAATCACTTTAGAGTAGACGTCCCCTTTCTAAACTCTTTAAAAGAGCCACAGAATCTCCACCCTTGCTGATGACTACATGTCCTCGATGCCCTAAAGTGAAACCTTTTTACTCCCGCCTCGACTGTCACGCGTGCTGTTCGCAGTGTCTGTGTTTCAGTCCAGGGAGTGGTGATGATCTTGACCTGGTCTCGATGTCTGACTTCGGTCGGTTGGTCCTGGTGGGTGTCGAGGAGGTCTGAAAGGTCTTCTTCCAAATTGTTAGATGGAATAGTGAGCTCATGGGGAGTTATACAGATAGTGACAATACATTATGTTCATCCTCTAGATTGCGGTTCCATTGGTACTCTTTGTAAGCCGAGCTAGACGGTTTATATCCCGAGTTTATAGACGGTATGCTGTGGTCATACTGGTGACCCGTATCTCACGCACTCTATGGGAGTTATGTGTTTAGACTTTACCTTAAACTTTATTCTGGCTGTCCTGACCTAGCTAGCTACATTCTTTTTGAATCTTGTCTTGGTACTGCCTCGTTTAATGGTTTGGTCATAGTATATCAAATCCTTTGCTGTGGCCATCATGTAGTTATTAAAACTTGTTTTTCGGGTATCATGTCTCGCGAACTGCTGAAGAACTCAATATGTCGGCCTGGTCTCACGCCGCCTCGGTGCCGCCAGTTTTATCTGGAGGTCCAGCGGTCCCCTTGGGTCCCTTATTCCGTGATCCACGCCCTCCACGGGATCCGCGGGAAGAGCCAGTGTTACTTCCAACAGTACTGCCACCTCCTGAAGCGCTTCCAGCAGCTTCGGCGGGAGCTTTGGCCTTACTGGCAGTGAAACCCTCGCGGCCTTTCCGAGACTTTTCAACTCCAGGGTTCTCTTTGCGCTCCAAGACCACCACTTGACTCTGGGCCACGGACACGGGACTCGCAGCGATGGCTTTGCGAAGCGCTTCCGGTTCAGCAAAATCTATGTATCCGAATCCCTTCTTCTTGTCAATTTCGACCTTCGTCACTCCTCCGAATGGGGTGAATGCAGACTGCAGGAGCGCTTCGGTCACACCCTGGGATGGGTTGGCGTGCTTGAGGAATGCTTGTTTAGCAGTTGATGGGTGCTTTATTTTGCCACCTTTAGTAGACTTGGCTGGTAGGGTTGTAGGCAGCGTAGCAGGTGCATCGGGTCGTGAGGATGACTGGCCGTCCTTCGGTTTTGGAGAATTGGTTGTGGATGATGCGGTTTTGGGAGGCCTGGTTGTCTCCTTCTTGGATAGATCGGCCGATGGAATGGCCGAGTCTCGAGAGCTCTCATTCTTAGGTGATACAGTATCAGTCGAACCACCTTTGCCGCGTCGTCGCCCACCAGATGTCGACAGTCCAAGATCACGCTGAAGGATCTTGGTGGCTGCTGTGACATTTCCACGCTCTCTCTTCCGCTCTGGGGCTGTAGTTGTATCCTTTGTTGTGTTTGATGTAGTACTCGACTTGCTTCCCTTGGCATTGGTAGCGGTTCCTTGCTTGGTTGCCTTGGCAGAGTCCTTGCTTGTCTTCTCTCCTTTGGGTTTCTTCTCGGAAGAGTTCGCCGAGGTTTCCTTATCGCCCCTTTGCAAAAGCTTTTTCGCCTGCACTTTCTCCTGTTTCGATTCTTTGTCCGACCGACTGTGTTTGGATTTAGAGGCGCTTCCGTCCTTTAACTTACTGGCTTTCTTGTCTTTGATGAACTGTACCAGCGGAGTGGTCATTACGGTTTCCTTCTTCTTGTCCTCGGCATCAGCCGTGGAATCCACAGCGGACGGCCTAGTAATAGGCTGGGTCAGACTTTCCAAGAAAGCGATGAAGTCTGAATCTTGATCAATCGTGCCTTGACGAGCATCCTTGCGCGAGCGGCTTCCAGGAGTCTTCGCATAAGGTGCAAACTCCAGCGATGGAGGCCCAAGTAGGATGGGGTCATGTAGAGTGTTGCGAGCGTCCTGGAAAGAAGCCTGGCGCACGACGTCCGAGAGCGAAGAGACGCATTCGGTGGACACAACGTGTATGTACGCTCTTGATGGGCGCGATGGTTTGTTGGGGCTATTTGAAGAAGTCCAGTTAGTGGAAAGCAATATAACATTCCATTAGAGGATGGTGAATCCTACTCTTTCGACACCTTGCCAGGTTTGTACTGAAGCCAGTCGACGTTTCCTGCTCCAGCCTTCCACTGGCCCCCAAGAGCACTCTCCAGCTCGGCCTGAGTTAGCCCGGGCGGCAAACGTCGAATGAGAAGTTTCAAACGTGGAGCAGGAGGTTTGGGTGTTTTCTTTGCGGGCGCTCCAGAGCCCGACTTTTGCGTAACTGCTGCCGAAATTGGGAGCAGACCGGCCGTGGTCTTCCCGAGCTGCATGATGGTGAAGCGTTTTCAATGGGAAGAACTGATAGGCTGTGTTTCCGTTTCCCAAGGCGAAGTCATGGAAATCTCGAAAGATATTAAACAAGGGATCCAGCCAGCCCACTTGTCCAAGTTGATAATCCCGGGGCCATCTACGGGGCTGAAGGCGGTGTGACTAGCATGAATTCTCACCGCCTAGCTGGTCAGTCAGCATCGTCATGAGCACGTGTCCAAGTGCACCCACCCATAAATCCATCCATTTCAAGGTTCCAAGGGTCCAAGATTGGAACGACCAACATTATTAGTAATCACCTGCCCAGGTGCCTAGGTAATGTATGTTTCTATCGATATAGTTTTAGTCCATTAGAAGAGATTAATTTTCTATTCTGTGTAAACTTGCTATACCAGATTTTGTTATGGACTATTCACTAGAATGAAGTCTCGGCGTTCCAGACCGCCCGAGGTTAAACCAAGTTTATCGATAAGAATCTCCGCTCTCTTCGACCTCACAACACTACACACATGTACCTACGAAGTACCTAGTTAATTAGTTGTCCACAATGAGCGACGAGAAGACTTCCACCTTGGAGAGTCAAGGGGATGCACCGATCTTGAGGCAGAAAAAACGCCCGTTCAATCTACTTTCGCTGTTTCTCTGTATCATTGTAGCCACCGCCTGGTTCACGCGCTCGCGCTATCCATTTTCCCCCTTGAGCATCGAGGAAAGGGTGGAGAAGATCCTGTCACAGACTCCATTGATCGGTATGGAGCTTGAGGAGAATGATTCTTTATGCACAATTATGACTGATGCCTTAGAACAGACGGTCATGATGACTTTCCTATCTTGGTCCGGGAAATGTTCCACAACCGTGTAAATGATGGCAACTTCACTGAGGCTTTTGTCACAGGCAAATTTCCCGGCCACGTTGATATCCCTCGATTGAAACAAGGTAGAGTTGGTGGTACGTTTTGGAGTGTTTTTGTGCCTTGTCCCAAGAATGGGACCGATTTTTCCGACGAGAATTACGCAGCAAGTAAGGGAACTTCGTACGATGACTGTCCCAAAGTATACTCACATATGAATGATAGGCGTGCGCGAGACGATGGAGCAAGTGGATATCATGTCGAGGGTTCAGCAAGCCTATCCCAAAGTCTTCTCCAGCCCCCCAAATGGCACCACTGCCATGTCCGCTTTCCGCGAGGGAAAAATCATCTCACCGCTTGGTATCGAAGGCTTGCATTCGATCGGCAACTCGCTGGCTCACCTCCGGATATTCTACGAGCTGGGGGTTTCGTACGCAACTCTGACGCATAATTGCCATAACCGGTATGCCGACGCCGCCATTCTCGAGCTTCCAGGTGGCGCAATCAAAAAGTCCGATCCTCTTTGGCATGGCGTCAGCGAAGAAGGGCAGAAGCTGGTGTTTGAGATGAACCGCCTCGGGATGATCGTCGATTTAGCCCATGTCAGCACGGAGACCATGCGTGATGTGCTGGGCGCTGGCAAGTCCAAATGGATAGGGAGCCGCGCTCCGGTGATTTATAGCCATAGCTCAGCCTATGCACTCTGTCCTCACCCGCGCAACGTACCCGACGACATCTTGGAGTTGGTCCGTGAGAAGAGCTCCCTGGTTATGGTTAATTTTTCACCAGACTTCATTTCCTGCACGCCTTCAGACAGTGCCAATGGGATCCCAGACTCGGACGCTGTCCACGCCACCCTGGAACGAGTCGCTGATCATATCATGTACATTGGTAATCTTATAGGCTTTGAGCATGTCGGAATAGGTAGTGATTTTGATGGTATTCCGACGGTTCCTCAGGGATTGGAGGATGTGTCCAGGTTCCCTCATCTCATCATGGAACTGCTGAAACGCGGAGTCAGTGACAAAGATGCAAGTAAGGTGGCAGGAGGCAACCTATTGAGGGTATGGAAGGAAGTTGATGAGGTGGCGCTCGAGATGCAAGCCGAGGGTGCACTCCCCGCGGAGGACTAATCTTTTAAAGCACTTTGAGTTCATTTATTTACCAATTTTCTAAGCGTCAGTAGAGTTTCTCTAAACTCGGCGGCGCAGTAGAACAAGTGATTTATAGCTTTTTCTCATGTGACAGAAAATAACTAAACTGCTCCCAGACGATCCTTTCCCTCTCTGATCTTGGTGTCCAACTGATAGAGAGTACGAGTCTGCCATTGACGGCCTGAATACCCGGGAAGTGATCATTAATGGTCAGTATAAGACTAAGAACGTCGGACTTGGGACTCGCGGAATCGCGGAATCTCGGTCTATGTACGTATGTAGATATAACCTATCAGATAATACGGCCCTTCCAAACAGTTCACTGCACTTGCATTACAGCAAGGCGAGAACATTCATCATCACTGGATATTTTCATTCACAATCTACCTCAACTAATCCCCGTTCACTATCACTGTCCTCCGACAACTAGTCTCACTCATATTGACAAGCCTTATCAGAAAATGCATCCAACATGATATCTAGCAAAATCAAATTGTCACTAGTGCTTCGTACTTCATCCCTCTCCCAGAACAATTATATAGATAATTGATTATTTAGCAGCCAAGGGCGATTGCTATTTGCTCATTAGCTGATTTTCATTAGGCGGACTCAAGAACTCCGACACTAACCATTGGCATACAATGCATACGAGTCAGCGTTGAGCACAGCATCTGCGCTAGAGAGGGCCGTCGCAGCACTATATCCGTATCCGTTGTCTTCAGTTCCCGGGCTGTATACTCCAGGAGCGTGAGTGAACTCGTGGAGAGTTGTGGTTGCTTGATCTTGGTTGTGGCATTTGTTAGTCAATGCCGGGAGGTCGCTGTAGTAGATATCACAATTGGCGATCACATTCTGAGATGGCAATGTGTAAGCCAAGACATTAGTTTCGCAGCTATTTGGATTATTTATGTAAGTTATGTATACACACAAAGCTTTTATGGAAGGGAGGTACTGACTATCCCAAGGTATCTTCGCAGTAGTACTTAGTGGCAGTGTTCGAGCCGGCCTCCTTTGCCACAGCCTTAAGGCGAGCGGCCACGACGTTGCGTGTGGCGGTGCTAGTGGTCTTAAAGTATTCGTTGAACCTATTGGATGCTATTAGAATAGTTCATTCATAGTCAAGAAGTATGCACATACTTGGTGGAAGATCCAGAAAGGGCAGCTTCTGCGGCATCGGTTGCGAGCGTCACGGTGTTCTTAAGTGCCTTGGCAAGTGCAGACTTCTTGCTCGAATCACTGCAGGTCTGAAGAGCCCGACGACCAAGAGGCTTGATAGCCTTCAACACACGGGATGCCTTGACACCATCAACCTCGATCTTGAGATCATTGGAACGGTATGGCAGATAGCCAGTGACTGCACCATCAGTGACTAGGGGAACTAGTCCAGTCGAGCGAAGAGTCAATGGGCCTCCACTAGACAAGTCACTGGTAGTGGCAATGTCAAATTCGTCTTCGAAGGTTTCTCCTGCAGCAAGGGAAGTGAGAGACTCCGAGGTGAGACCATTGAGAACGAACCGGCGTTTGATTCCCTCAAAGGTAACCTCAGCATCTGATAACAGGTTAGTATTGTACCGATAGGGGTCGGGAAAAATTTCGATACCGTTCTTGAAGACATTGACCTTCTTGACGGGTGCAGTGTCACGGAAAAAGTTGAGATGCACAAATGTTACATCTTCGCTGCCAGAGTTCTTTACAACTGCCTTGATGCGGGTGTCAGTAACATGACTCAAGGTGATATCGAGCGCAGGGGTTTCATCAGTCTCGACCGGCAAGGCATGCGCATGCTGTGCTAAAGCCAAAAGAACCGTAGAAAGGGCAGCAAAACGCATGATGCTCGAAGGTGAAAAGATTCAAAGGGGTGATTCTCTCAAAAATGAAGGTTGAAATTCTGATGTCTTGAATGTGACTTGAATAAAAAAGCTCCAATTCTCGAGAAAAGGTCGACTTCTTTATAGTCCACTGGACACTCATTGCAGTTTCGAAGTGGAATGCCGCGGTTTCCTCTCTCCTGTGTGCCGTCAACCTCCCCCCTGTTGCCCAGAAGGACGGCAGAAGAAAGAGCGTAGTATCTTCTCCGCATAAAACAACTTGGTCACGCCAGCAGCTAACCTTGCATAGGACGGACACGGGAGACCTGCGGGCAATCTTGTCACTGGTCGAAGATATCTTGCGATAGCTATATCTTCAAAAGGATCATCGTGGATATCGTCTTGGCCCGACGGAAATCCGCGCCCCTAAAATATGTGTGTTAGCCTGGATAGATGCCTCCATGGCTTGTGAAGCCGCATATGATCCCACATCATGGATGAAGTGGCGGGGGCTTGTTCGATGTAACTCCTCACGATCGGCTCTAGAGGAAAAAAATAACTTTGCGCTAAAAGCTGCAAGCCCCTGGGCAGACATATGTGTTTGAGGTATAGCCTGGCCGAGGTATGGAATCAAGTATACAAGTTCATTCTGCGGGCTTATAGAACATAAATATATGCGAACCATCATTTGTTAGAATTTGTTGGACATGAAGACATTGTACTCTAGGGGCAAAAATATACATATCTACTGTAACAACTCATATCGTCATCTCATTGTAAATGACCAACCTGGAAAGCGCTCCATTCATATCACGCCAAGCCCTAGGCCATGCATTTGTCACCGGACTCCGGTGCCAAGATAGTGCCAAGATACCACCCAAGACGGCACCGGAGTCTTGACTTCAGAAACAATGCTTAGTGTCAGCCATTAGGGGGTGATGTCGTGTATAGCCTTGTGATTAGTAGGGGCTTGGATATTGTGATGAATGGCCGTCTGGGAGACAACACTATGCCAAGTCCACGAGAAAGGAGTGTTCCTCGGAGGCCCGGAGGAATGCGGTACAGTACCCTGGGCATTCGACTTGGCGTGAAAGTAACGAAACGGATTGGTTCAAATGAGAGATTGTCAAGATGATCAGCGTTTCCAGACATAAGGCGTGATAAGACTCTCCAACAGTGTTTCACCTGATCTTTGAACACTCAACCTCTCGATATCTCGATACTACTAGCAACTTGCCTACACTACCCTATTGTTTCTATTTTCTTTGTTTTCCCCTTCAATAACATAGTGTATCACACTGACTGTGCAAGTATCTCCTTTTGACACAAATATGGAGTCAAGCTTGAGCTTGCAGGTCACCTTGGTCCCCCAGGCACCGATCCGAGAGACACAGGAAGCATTTGCCCTACCGATCAAAGTTTCTGTTCACAATGCCGCAGATTCACCAGTTACCATCCTGAGATGGGCTACTCCATTGGACCCTCAGGCTGGTGTTCTCGGTGTCTTCGAGATTTGTGACACAATGGACCAACGGAAACTACCCGTTCCTACGATTATGGTATCACGCAAGCTACCTGCCTCTGGGGATGATCTCGTTGAGATACAGGCACGTCACACCATTGATGTAACTATCAATTTGCCAATACTAGGCCTCGAAAAGGGACATGAATATTCTGTCCGTGCACAGGGGACTTGGCATGCAGTGTGGCCAACCGAATTATCCAATGTGACTACATCCCAACTCAGGGATAACGAAGGTGCCAATCGTGGGGACTTCCTCTCTAACGAATCCTCTGTGATCATTGAATGACCTAGGTCTTTGGCTTTGGGGTACTCGAAATAAAAGAGCAGCACGTCAGGGAACTCGACGCTGCTATCAATGGATGTCCTATTGCCCACGATTTCTTTCATATGCCATTTGCCGATAATGAAATTAAGCCAAATTATCTCCACTGTTATTCACATGACTGCCTATTTGTGTTACGTATGTTAGGATTTCCCTATTACACAATTTGTTCAAGGTTTAATCCGCTGTGTATTAAGGCCCACTTGCCATGACTATAATGAAACCCTGATTCTCGAGTGTCCCCTAGTGAGGATCGAATCCCTCATACAAAAAAGAAATATGTCTTTCTATAAAGTACCAAGCCCAGAAGAAGATGCCAGAGTGGTGTTCGAAGTTCTGAAAAGGGGCGGTATTGCGATTATACCGATGAGCGTTGGCTACGGAATCACTGCGATCGATCCAGATGCATTGGACCGGATTTTCCGCACAAAACGGAGAGAACCACACAAGCGACATGTAATGGTTGGCAGCTACGTTCTGCATCAAGATATTCATGTCCTTCCCCCTCAGAAAGCCGGTATGGTCAAACTCTTGACCGTGGACTTGGAACTTCCTCTAGGGATAGTTGCGCCATATCGCCTTGATCATCCGATTATTCAAAAGCTTCCACGAAACATGTTAGCACAGAGCATTGTTGGGGATACCCTAGCAATGTTGGTCAACGGCGGTGCTTTGCTAGAAGAATTATCTCGACTTGCTGCCCTAGAGAAACTTGCTCTAATGGGATCTTCAGCCAATATCACAGGCAAGGGAGCAAAGACTGTGGTCGAGGACATCGAGCCGGAGATCCTCGAAGTGGCAGATATAGTTATCGATTATGGGAGACAAAAGTTTCACCATCCTCGAGCCTCTTCAACCATGATCGATTTTAGAACAATGAAGGTTGTGCGATACGGGGCTTGTTACAATGTGGTGCAGGATGCTCTCTGGCGATTTTATGGGATTAAAGTGCTGGATGATCCTGGAACGTCGACTCTTTTGTCTGGACAGACATGTGCTGATAGGATAACGTATTCGGCAAGCGAGTGGCCACCCCAACTAAAAACGCGTCCATCAATTAGTACTTAGTTAATTCAACCACCCACTATGCCACCAATACGCTCTCAACCCTCTATAAATTCAATGGAGCAAGAGGGTAGGATCTTATTAGCTATCCAGGCTTTTAAAAATAGAGATATTAGCTCTATTTCTCTTGCTGCGCGTATATTCAATGTCCCGCGTACAACTCTCCGCCGCCGAATTGATGGAATATAACACCGCGCGAATTCTCGCGCTAATTCATCTAAATTGATAGAAATTGAAGAGGAATCGCTTGAGAAATGGATTCTCTCTATGGATCTACGTGGAGCAGCCCCCCGGCCCTCTATAGTACGAGAAATAGCAGATCTTCTTCTTCAAAAGCGTGGAACTACCCCGGTTCTTTCGGTCGGCGAAAAATGGGTTACGAATTTCGTTAAACGACGTCCTCTCCTCTCCTCCCGATTCTCGAAACGGTATAACTACGAGCGTGCGAAATGTGAAGACCCGAAAATCATTATAGAGTGGTTTAATCTAGTTTAAAAGACAATCCTTCAATTTAGAATCGACCCTAACGATATCTATAACTTTGACGAGACCGGTTTTATAATAGGATTAACTATAACTATAAAGGTTATTACAAGGAGGGAATACTACGGTCGGAGGCCGGTTTTATAACCTAGAAATCGTGAATAGGTAATAGTGGTTGAATGTACGAATGCTTCTAGATAGGCCCTTCCTCTATATATAATCTTTAAAGGCAAAGTCTTTATTAAATTATGGTTCGACGGCCTTCCGGAGGACTAGCGTTTCGAAGTTAGTCCTAACGGCTAGACCTCCGATGAAATTAGCCTTCGTTGGCTTGAAAAGCTCTTTATTCCGACTACTTCTTTATATACGAAGGGGGGGTATCGACTTTTAATACTCGACGGCTACGGAAGTTATTTAATACCTAAATTTGATGAACTATATAAGTAAAATAAGGTAATACCAATCTATATACTAGCGTATTTATCTCATCTTTTACAACCTCTTGATATTAGTTGTTTTGCTATGTTAAAACGTGCGTACGGTCGGATGGTTGAAACTAAGATACGGAACGGGATCAACTATATCGACAAACTTGACTTCCTTAAAGTATACCCTCTTATACGAATTGAAGCTTTTAAATCGGAGACGATTAAAAATAGCTTTATAGCAGCCGGTTTAGTACTATTTGGACCCGACCGAGTGATTTCTAAGCTTAATGTCCGGCTTCGAACCCCGACACCCCCAGCTAGCCGGGGTAGTGAATCGAGCCGGAATTTTACCCCAAAAACCCCCTTTATAGAGAAAGAACTACGTCGGCAAGCTTCATCAATTAAAGCTTTACTTCGTATAAGATCTCGGAGCCCACCTAGCCCGTTAGATCGTGTATTAAACCAGCTTATAAAAGGCTTCCGTCTTACAATGCAAGGTGCTATCTTACTCGCCAACGAAAACAAGGAATTACGCGCTGCTAACGAGAAGCAGAAGCAAAAGCGTACTAGATCCCGGAGGCAGATACCCGCCGAAGATAGCCTCTCAGTTCAAGAAGCTTCTCAATTGATTACTACGCCGGTGGTAGTAGATGAAGCACCTCCCCCCCTCGGCGTAGGGCTGCATCGCCGGGTTTACATTCATCTATACGGGGCCCACAACGTTGTAGTGGGTGTAAGAAACCAGGGCATAAAATCAATAGATGCCCAGCTAGATAGATGATTTTAGTGTATTTAATTTAATGGAGTTTTGGTTGACATATTTACATTTGAAATTAATACATTTAGTTGGGGTGGCCACTCGCTTGCGGTGGCCACTCGCTTGCCGAATACGTTATGAGATGTTTACTCCAATTACAGAATTTGATACCTAGTCGAATTAGCAGAGGAATGCGGGACACCGATAATGCAACTATTTCAAAAACCAAGTAATACGATCGATGGCTTTGCTTTGCATGTCCACCATTTCCCTCTCTCTGGTTATTACAGGTAAATCCCGGCATTTAACTATGCTGAATATCATTCGACAAGACAAGGCAAAGGCGAGATAAGAGTCAAAAAAGGCTGTCCTCCTCTACCTATATGATTAATGTAGAGATGCTTATCAGTCATGTAGAAGGTATTTATGATCATCTTTTGGCAAGAAAGATCCGATCGTGTTTTTGATGTTCGTAAATTATCCAATAAGAGTTATGCGAGGTGGATGTGAATATTGCAAGGAAAGCATAGCTCATTGTGGCATCTAGTCAAAAGGATAGGAGCCTGGAGCGACACCTAATACTACTTCCCTACTAAAATATTATAACCTACTCATAGGCTATAATATCATATCTGCTAAAGTGCTAATAGAGCTATTAGACTTCCTCTATATAGTCCAATTTATATATAGTCTCCCTATATTAATAGCTAGCGAAAATATAATACTAGGTATCTGTTTGATTTGGGTTCTCTAAACTCTCACTGTTTCACCGGAGTGTTTTAGAAAATTGTTTGAAAATTTTGAATTTGGCCGTTACATATAACTGATAGTGACAGTGTTTCCAGTGACAGAAGAAGATGTGAGAATCCGATCCTGATAGATGTCCATGATGGTAGCACTGGATGGTCCGTAAGTATCCCCACCGCGCGAGGCAACTGCATTGGAGAATACTACAGTGCCAAAGTTGGCAAAAGGAGCCAATGCGTTGTTTACAGAAAAGTCCTCCACAATCCATTCGGCGTTAAACTCGCAGAGATCACCCCCAATACCATTACGGAATATATGCGTCACAGATGCGCCTGTGGATAAATTGTCAACCGTAGCGGAGCCGGAGCTCCTCGAAGTTGCGTTGACTGTCATTTTAATCACATTTCCAGCCGAGATTTGGATGTTGCTAAAGTCATGTGCGTAGTCTGGATACCATTCATACCACGCGCTATATGACGTGGAGCCTCCCTGAATACAGAAATCGATTCCTGTTTGTAGAATGGCTGTACTGCAAGTATCACCGTCAATGCCAACCCATGCTGAGGCGCAGTAATTTGTGTAGGAGTTGGCACCACTTGGAAGTTGGAGGATAGGAACTGTGATCTCTCCGGAGACCCAAGTGTATCCGGTACCACTAAGCACAGCCCCAGCCCAATTTGAGCTGTAAGTCTCCTGGGGCACTTGATTCAGATATAGTACTTCTGAGGTACCTGGATTATGAGGTCGGACTGTACGGCGCGGAGCTTGGGTAGATCGATGTATCTCACCATCCGCCTGTCGCCGAGAAGTGAGGGGAGAGGCGATGATAGAAGTGGCGAGTAGCGTAGCACTAAAAATTGCGATAGCAAAGTTCATAGTGAAGGACTGGGTTGAGTCTGTAGAAAATCGGCCCAAGTAGCAAAGATGAAAAGAGAAATTTGATATAAGTTGAACCGCGCATGAATCTAACCTCCGCACTAAAACTGATGTTTATATAGCATTTTCTACGAATATTTGTTAAGTTTAGAGGGAATAAGTGTAGAATGACCATAATGCGAGATACGGATGAATGGCTCTCAATGTAACATGATCTCCATGCAAGACGAAGACAAAAGGCGCAGATGATCGCTGTCGGAGACCGAAGGCTAGGGTGACTTCGCAAGGTAGTCCCTTGGCTAACGAAATGCACAATAATCATCTAACTACAAATATACATGGTAAATGCGTCCCTTGCATATGATAGATTCGGACTAATATATACATATGTACCGATGTAGGGTAACTACAAGGTATGGGGCCCACCTATTCTACGTACTTCATTAGACTTTCTATGGATCCCGGACATTCTGATAATAGTAATATAGCTATTATCCCTGAAATGTAAAGGGCAATAGGTAGAACCATCGAAAATAATATAATAAGATTATCCGAGCATAATTTTGCCTTGCATTACCCTTAAATGAACATCTCTTTCCTAGTTTGGCTCCAGAGCTCCAGACCTGTCTTTCAAGAGAAGTGATAAGCGAGGGGCAGTGATCAGATCAAAAACGACCGAAAGCCAGTGCCTTAGGACTATGAGGTTTTGGTCCTCTCTGTTGATCTCTCTCTATCTTCTTTATTTTATTCTAGCTTTCTGTATATATATTGTAGTGGGGGACTAGGCCCTACACTACGCATTGACCCCGCTTGTCCTTTCTCTACCGTACATTTTTCTTATCTAATCGCGAAGCACAGGAGATACAAGTAGGAGATAGACATAGATTGAGAATAACATAGTCCTACACCTCTCTAAAATCACTTCTTGGACAACGGTCCCAATTCCTTTTGCATGCCCTGGTTGGTATAAAGCCGACTCGCGAGTGCTGAATCGACCCATGTGCCCAAGAGCATACGTCCTAGAGGTTCCCCTCTTCAATATATATATCTATCTTGGCAGCTCCTTTTGTTCAAAACATGATGGCCACTTGATCTTTCGTTTTCACTCATCTCTTTGCATTGACCACTCTTTCTTTGTCCCCGACTCTTCTTTAAAGTTGTCCCCAGAATTCAACACCTTGAATGTGTGGGTAAAATATTTCTGGATCTTAGGGGTTGTATCTCCGAACAATACCTCTAACCCCGCTATTTGATTGGTTGGGATCTCAGAAATTATTCTAGTCATATGAGTACATCATACCATGGGGTATGTTCCTACCATATTCACGCAGTGTCAATCATTACTTAGGATCATATGTCATCTAAGAGAATTGCCACCACAGGCGCTGGCGCAGTTGGTGTGTCATACGCCTCTATCTTATATAATCATCCAGAGTTCGCATTGACTCTTACCGGTATCGAGCCTTATGCTGAGGGTCAAACGAAATATATTGCCCTGGATAAGTTTACTAATGGAGCGAACTGGTTAGACGATTTAACCTTGGGCCAGCTTAAACAGCCACCAGCCTGACCACCATGTCTTCCAGACACTCGTTTAGTACACATGACTCTCTAATACTCATAGTCCCAGAGGTATCAACTAATATTCATACCGCCCGAATCAAGCAAAAGGGTTTGTGGACATAAAAGGATATTAGCCCATCTAAGATAATTGGGTATATGACTAAATTTGGCCTTCCGCCTACTTGACTACAATTGGATGGCTAACTTGAAGCAGAAAAGAAAAAAGTGATAGCAGCTTAATCATCGGTAGCTGCACTACCTTGCAGTGGTTCCTCAAATTGTGATAACTATTGACACCGCCTGGATATTGAGTTAGACAATGATGGTGGGCTTGCTATGTCTAAATGGGTCTTTATAAGGCCGACACGTTGGATTATAGAACATGCATGAAATCACATGCATTTTGACATCGACGCAGCGTAACAAGTTGGCGTTACGTATAAGCCATTCAGTGACTTTGCTGAGGGCCTCCTTTTTTGCAAAATATTTGATTGTCTGTCATCCAGCGAGATAACCAAAAAAAAAAAAAAAGCAATGGACTTGAAGAAAGCAGAACTAGGCTTCATATTCCCGTACAAACCCATGTTGAAGTTAAATATCTCAAAGAACATATCTAAAACTTTCAATCTCGTGATCGGTCTTGTTAGACAGCTCGTCTTCCAGTTCTTCAGCTTCGGTCATCACCCTAAGAGACCCATATAGCCTATCCCATCGACGGTTCTCCAGGGCAAAAAATATATAGAGACAGACCAAGAAGAATATTCCGAATGTGAGTCCGGCCATGGACGCTTTGATGCCGGTCTTATCAAGTTAGCACTCAAGGGTTTAGAGATAGGTCATGAGAGTGAGGTACTGACTGAATATAAGGGTTCTTCCGAAGGGTTGAAGAACCGGGGCCCAGCAATATTGCCAATGCAGTACGCTGCAAATATAAGGGCACTGAATGTGCTTTTCTTGGTAAATCCCGCAACGTTCGAGCTGATTAAACTGAGGGACAAAGGGATATTGGCAGCGAAGACACCACCGAGGCAGAGACCAGTCATCTTCCCTGCCTGATTATTACCATCTAGCTTCCAAATCAGAAGCATACCAATTACCGATACCGCTGTATTGACTATCATCATAATAATGCGAGACTTTGGAACAAGGGAGGCGAACCCCGTAATAAGGAGGAGAAAGACAACCTGAGCACCGCCAATAGGCATCTGAATGAGAAGAGCCTCTAGATGGGAGCAAGACCAATGATTTCCATGAGTTATCGAGTCACAATATCACCTTGATAAGCGTTGGTTCTATTTTAACAAAAGGCGGGGGAGGACGACATCATTCGCAATGAAACACGGGCAAATTTAACGGCAATCAGAGACGATTATATTGAGTACTAGATGCCGAAACATGATCCATGTATCTCTTAGTTATAGCCAGCTGCTACCGTGTGTATAGACTTTGAGAAGAGTAAGAAGATTGGTTTTATAATATCGGTAGTCTAGCGAATCAATGTCGCACATCGGCAAATTGGATGCTCATGCTCCTCGGCAACCCACTTTCTCTATACCCCTAACCCCCCCCCCCCCCCCCCCCCCGGGGGATAAAAAGTTAAAGAGAGTAAAGGGCGAAAGGGAAAACCGCACATGGTGTTTGCTAGGATTGGACTGAAAAGGACGGAAAAAAAGAAAACTAGAAATAAGAACGAGCCCTAAAATCCCAGACACGACCTCGGGAGTTCGGTGGGATGGATTCCTGGATCTTCAATGAGTCACAATATAAGGGGTTAAAACATGGTAAAAACTACAATAGAGGATACTCCGTACATACCCCGGATTCCACTGGTCTGTGGAAACTGCCCACGGCTCTCGCCAAGCTCGCCAATATGAATGATAACAGTCATTCCACGACTCTACCTCTATTGTCGCATTGAAAGGACTTATCTCCAAGTAACCACACTGATGATAGGACGAAGTTCGGCAAAGTCTTTCCGCGTCGCCTTCCCCTCTTACTCTGTCACCGGCAAACGTCACGCAGATACGTACTACCTTTGGGTTAAAACCGTAAGCCTAAGATCAAGCGCCAATCCGGTTTCCTTTTGAAAGTTATTCATATTTAAATATGCAAGATCCTTGCGTTCCTTTCGGCAAGAACGATTCCAATTAACACATCTAGAATTGAGAATGACAGTTAAAAATGTATGACTCCTACAACCTTCAATATCGGAAGTGAAGGCCTATACAGATGCCGCGCTTGAGGCACTACAGCAGGAATTGCGGGAATTGAACCATCAGGCATATTCATCCTTCTGATCAGAGTTTTTAGCTGTAAGGCAAACAAGTTTGGTAGTGATTATTAGATCTGGTTAAACCCCAAGCTTGCCTACTAGGAGCACCGCGCCCATGATACAATTTGCGACTTCCTCGAAGGACAAGATTTCGCCGTTGCTCGCCACGCCTATGGGATTAATACATCTTTTGAGGCTGTGAGCGGAACTGGTGGGCGATTGATCAATTTCAACGCTGAATATGTCGCATTACCTAGAATTGGCCATGCTTGTGGTCACAATCTAATAGCGACAAGCAGTATCGCTGCATTCCTTGCGTTGTCATTTGCCATCAGGAAATTTAATGTCCCTGGTAGAGCCTGGCTATTAGGCACGCCGGCCGAGGAAAATGGAGGCGGAAAGGCCAAATTGATTGATGCCGGCGCCTATAAAAACGTCGACATCTCGCTAATGGCGTAAGATTTCGATCGCATATGAAAGAAAAGGTTCCTGCTGACCTAATTTGGAGTCATCCTGGTCCCAAAAAGCTTTACCCCGACGAAGAGCCATCCGATGGCATAGCTGGAACGCCAATGAATGCGCGCAAGAATATCCACTGAGAGTAGCTCAATATGAGTTCTTCTATTCCATGCCGATGAAAATAATTCGATGTAGGCGAATTCACTGGTAGGAATGCTCACGCCGGTGGAAACCCGTGGGAAGGGATCAACGCGCTTGATGCCCTGGTCTCATCTTATAACAACGTTACGGTTCTTCGACAGCAGCTTCTTCTGGACCAGCGGATGCATTGTACTTTGAAGGGATTGAATGTTCTTGTCAGCAAAATGCGTAATTGTATTGAAGCTGGTGCTTTGGCCACTGGATGTCAAGTTAATATTTGAGTATGTATCCATTTATGGTCACCAGGCCACTTGCCTATATGCTTTGAGGAAATGGGCTACTAATGTATTTGCTTCGAGGGATGAGCTCTAAACCGATGTCCGATTGAATGACACTCTCTGTGAACGCTACCATGTCCACATGGGACGGTATAGCCGCAATGTTCTCAAGCGCCATGACAAGGTCCTAACAGGATCGTCGGATATTGGTATGTGATGGGATGATATTTCTTTTGGTTGACAGAACTTACCCGTGTACCTCAATAATAGGAAATGTTAGCTACGAAACCCCAACGCTTCATACAATGTTTGCGATTCCCACTTATACAACTTCGTTTCCACATCACCCGACGTTCACAGCTGCAGCTGGAACAGATGAAGCTCATGCCGAGGCATTGATTGTTGGGAAGTCTTTTGGCATTGACTGGTTGGGATATGATTGTTGAGAACGATATGTATAATTTGGCGCGGCGTCAATGGAAAGAAGAGATTGCACGGGAAGAGTAAATATGGTGGGTGGAAAGATAGCATATAAATGGTCATCGGACTGTATAACAAATTTATTAGTTGTTTTTGCCTTTTTTCGAGGAAAATCCGAGAGAAAGCTGGTGTACGAACAATGTATGATATGGATGATATTGACAACTCTAACAGAACCCGCTATTTCAACAACCTATGCGGACCTCGATGACTAATTGTAATATACCATTGTGTATGGTATGCCTGGTACCCGATGTTATATGTTTTTCCTGGTATAATACCTGGTTTCTACCATGTTCGGACTTGATATTCGACAAAATCTCTATTGTCATGATGACTCAGCCTTCCCCGCGTTATCTTATCGGCTTCGGCACTGAGGTCGCTATCCCAACACCCACCTTTGCATTATTAATTCTTTCAATTCGCGCTCCCTTCGATATTTTCGCTCATGCCTGCAGGTTGATCCCTACTGGTTCATGTCCATGCAGGGTTTGGGACGTAATGGACCACGTTCCAAGAGTGGTAGGATATTCCTTTTAATTTCCCACAATGGCCGACTAACATACTTCTCGGTAGGTTGTAGTACCTGCCGCCGTCGCAAGGTCAAGTGCGGTGAAGAGAAACCAGTTTGCGCAAGATGTTCATCCCTTCGCCTCAATTGCGAATGGGGTGTCCCAGTGAAGCGTGGGCGAAGCACGCAAATCCGACAACTTGAACCTGCACCGGGAACCTCCGAACAGCCTAAAGCCGAGGACCTTACCGGGTATCAGCCAGGTGCCCTTTTCACAAGTCTCTCACCGGTCTCTTGGGAATCTGACGCTCTTTCCTTTGACACATTCAATCCGGCACCAATTCCGACCCCCATATACCCTTCTTTGAACGTCAATGTCGCGTGCGCCAATTCGTTGACACTCACGTCTCTTGATCGGCAATACTTCCAGTATTTCCCTTCTTCCTCGCTCGTATTTTACTACATGAAGAGATGGAGGTGGAGCAGCTTATGGTGAGTCTTTCATGCGTGAAATGAACTTGCTGTTTACTAAGAGCCTGGCTAATTGGATACCCGAAATTAGCCATCTTTACGAAGGGCCAGCTGCATCTAATAGAGTCATTATGCGGATGATACTAGCGTTAAGCGCATGTGATATGCATCGCAATGGGCTGATTGTGCGCTCTCGGGATCATGGCCGGTATCATTACAGCCAAGCGGTCAAAGAATTTAGGCAATTGCTCGAGACGCCGCGCCAGGTTTCCTTGGATGATGTCGAGACCGTTTTTGCCACTGTATTTTTGATGATAGCTTGGGAGTGGCAGTTTGGACACTCAGTACGCCATGTAAGAATGCTCTCATGTACTGATTTGTTACACCAACTAACAAGGTACCAGCTTCAACTCCACCTGCAGGGCGTACGCTCACTTTTGGAAACGCACCCGCAACTATTCCGCATCAAAGATGTGAATGATATGTTCTCCCCTCCCGGATCCAATACATTGACTAGTGGCACCGTGACCATGGCCAAGGTCTCGTTCATTCCGGAGCAGCTTTTGTTGTGGATTCTGTGGGTCTTTTCTTTTCTAGCTGTCGTACAAATTACTACCACTGACGAATGAACAGATATATCGATGCTAGCTGTCGTCCCATTGGTCTTACGGAGTCACTCAACGATTATGTGGCCCAGTCTGGGAATCCCGCTTTACAACCGGACCATCTTCATCGCTGTGCTCGTCTCTGGGGCCGATGCTTTTGGGGCGAGCAGTATCCCGATGAGGAAGTTCTGGACGACATTGAAAACTATAGAGCTCTAGAGCTGTTGCATGCGGGATTCTGCCTACGCCATCGAACTTGGAATGTCCTCATCAAATCCGCGGCTGGTACCGCCGAGTCCGCAGAACCCCTTTCCCGGGAGATCCTTAACACTAGAGAAGTCAGTATAGATAACAAGCCGGGTGTTGGGAAGAATTAATTGATTGTGACTAGAAATTCTCCGACCTTTTCATCACCGCAAGATTTGCCGGTAGTGTTTCCGCTCGACGTACGCTCAATACCATATACATGGCCGTTTCTACCTTTTACGGCCAGGTTCTCCTCCACCGTCGGCTTCTCTGCGTCGATGCTTTGCCCCTAAGAATTCACCATCAAGCCACGACAGGAATCATTGATATTTGTCAAAAACAGTTTTGGTCTGATCCGAAGCTCCTTAGGCGTTTACACTGGCCGCTGTTGATGGCAGTGATTGAAACCAATGATATAACACATCAAAGGTGGCTACGTCATCGTCTATGGGAACTGCGTGAATTTCATTCCGAGTTTGTTTGGGCGCATGATGTGGCCGAGCAGATCCTAGCCCAACAAGACGTAAGCCAGGGACGATATGTCAATCTAGCCGAACTTTTACTAAAGCGTTTTCATGCGCAGTGAAGCCCGTGTTGTACATCTACTTACAGTTTTATAGATCATCAATAATATCTTATATTTTAAGTCTATATATCTGTTGTCGATTCATGTGAATCTGTTTATTTTGTTTCTCGATAGACCACGTCCCCTTCGCCTTCGTAAGACGTTAGTTCATCCACCTGTACTTCTCAATTTTCTGTCTTAATCTTGACATCGAGACGGAACTAATATCCGCTAGAATTGATTGGGTTACCTTGTATCAACGCCCGAAGCGTATCCAGGGGCTGGCCCAACTTTACTGAGTGTTATTTCCTTGGTATAGTTATAACGATGAGTGAAATGAACGCCGTTGTGGGTTTCGATGATATCTTCACAGGCGCTTATGCTCCGGCTCAACCAACTGTCCTAGATTTCCTGTATGAAATCTATTCGTAACCCCTGGGATTATCTCTATAATCATATGATTATCATGGATTCGAGCGAACCGCCGTTAACCATAAGCACTTACAAGTCAGTAGAAAGATATCCCTGAAATTGGTTTCTCTAGAGTCATGCATTCATGTTCACGGGTGTCTCGAACTTTTTTTTTTTCCAAAGCTATTAACAATATTGTTGTTCAAACTCCACGCATTTGCCAATCGATCCCTATCCTATCATAATCTGCTGCCGACTGGGCAGGAAGCCCGACAACTGGAATTTGTGCGCCTGACGTACATATCATTTAGCCATCGTGTCTTTCTCTTCTCATGTGGTGACCAATGTAGGTTTGATGTTTGAGGAACCCAGCAAAGAACTTGCCGATTTCAAGATAATCGCTTAGACCTATAATGGCAGACACATCTAGCGACCCGAAAGTGTCAGTTATATGTCGTTATCTCACGGGCACGTAGTAGCTTACATTGATCTGGCCGAACAATGATAAGAGCACCTTGGGCTGGATCGATGCCGAGATATTCGTATGCATGGCCGTGTCCGTCGTTGTAACTTTCGTCATCGTAATAAATCTTGTGTAGATCTAAAATACTCAAGGTTAGAGATATGGCGGAACGATTGGATATTAGAGCATCTGCACCTCTTGTTTGATATTTTCCAGACACTGGATAAAAGCACTCGGGGATCTGCTCCAACTCAATACCATGACGCTTTCCATGTCCGATCAAGATGATCTCGATGAGGCTGTCAATGTCTTGATCCTTGGGGGTAAATGTGTGGATGGGTCCGTCGGCCGCGCTCAAGTATTCCCCCAGCTATATAGTCCATTAGATTAGGCCCAGACAACATTTCTATAGCAGCAAACAGACCTTGTTGAGCTTTACGTGGCTTTCTGGTATAGTCAGGTCACCAATGAAGGCCATGATGCGCCACCGACCATCAGATTTGAGAGACTTCATGAGATGTAGAGGCTTAGAGTCACAGAACCTCACGACCTGTGCGCTGGGAAGCCGCATACCAACGGCCACATTAGAGGCAAGGTTGATCGATTCTAATGCAGAGGTTATGGGTGAGACGTCATACTTGGCTGTTAAGCCTGCGGTGTATTTGCCAGACTTGATGAAGCCTTCTTGGAACTCAGCAGAAGAGGTTGAGGCCCCCGAAGAAAACAACTTGGAGAAATAACGGTCAAACTTAATCAGATCAATAGCCACCTTTTGACGTTCCAGGACGTAAGTCTCCAAAAGTGAGGGACTGGCCAGGCCAGTCAAAATCTCCCCAAGCTTCCATCCAATGTTGTAGCCATCTTGTAAGCTGACATTCATACCCTGGCCGGCTTTGGGGGAATGGGTGTGGCAAGCATCTCCAGCGAGGAAGACCCGGTTATCCTTGTGGAAGAAATCGGCATGACGCTGACCGATAGCATATGCCGACCACCAGACTGTTTCCACAAAGTCTACCTGATAAGGGCGGAAGATGCTCCGTGCTTGAGCCTGCAGAGTTTCAAGAGTCACATCCTTCGGGTTGGTTCCTGGGGCAAGTTCAATATAGAACCTTGTCAGGTTGTCGCTATCGCCTTCGCGGGGAATAATCAACACATTTCCTGATTTTGAGCGAACCGTAGACTTCTTGCGAATGTCCGGGAAATTTGTTCGGGGCACCATATCCATAACACCCCAGACAGCGTCGCTGCTATCTCCAATCATTTTGTACCCGAGGGCTTTGCGGACAATGCTGTGCGCCCCATCACAAGCCTGATGGCCGGGTCAGAAAGCGTCGAAAAACCTTCAAGAAAAATGAGCACCTACTAGAGCATATTTTGCTGCAAATATTTGTATCTTTCCGTCCTTTTCTGCAGTGACTTTGACCGGATAGGCATCGTGATCCTCGGTAGAGGTGCTATTAACTTTAACATCGGTCACATTATAGCCATAGTCGATTTGTTGGTCATTAGACTTCTGCATCAGCTCAATGAGAAGTCCGTTGATACGTGCCTGGTTCAGAATAACGTGAGGTTGGTGTGATAGACCCGGTTGGGTATCTGCCGTCCGCCCTGTCCGCTTGATGGCACCTGTGCCATTGTCGGCCCAAAAGTTGACCTCTAGAACGTGGTAAGCCTCACGAAGAAGCTCTTCGCCAATTCCAAAGCTTTCAAAAATCTCCACTGTGCGACATTGCACGCCGTCGGCTTGACCCATCTTCATGGGACCACTCCGCCGTTCTAGTACCTTGCATCTCACCCCGTACTTGGCGAGCCAGGTGGCAGCGCAAAGACCGGCAGACCCGCTGCCGCAAATAAGAACATCGACTTGCTCCATAGTTCAAATGTGTACAGACTGAGATCAAATGTAGTTAGTGCATGCCGGGACCTTTTATGGTGAATCCGGGATGCGACCCGGGATAAAATCCAAGGCACCTCGGGATGCGTTCCGGAAAGCGATTGCGGGACAATATGGAAGCCTCGGCAGCCAATCCTTTGTTAGATCGGTTTTGTCATGTCACTGCCGTTTTGATATCGCGAGCCTGTATTTGATTTCCCTGTCTAGAGCGCGGGAAAGGGGGTCTTCTCAAGCCTTCGGAATGCCGGTTCACTCTATTCAGATCTCGATTATCTGGTTAATCCCTTTTGGTTTCTCATATCCAAACACAAGGCGTATGCATCATTAAGTCTGGTCTAAATCATTATATAATGCCCATCCTTCCGTCCAAATACCGAACCGAACGCCAGCGCCGGTGCAGAACTCGCATCACATCTTACAAAAAGTACTCGCTGCGCCCTGGCCGTGAAGTTGGAACATGCCGCTGGTCATCACTGACTGCACTAAATAACTTGAAGGTAGGTTTGAGATCCTCTCCGATTTCACAGACCGAGGCCAGATTCCCGCATCGGTAGCAGTAGTTTGGTGCGCTCCACACGGTGACGACATTTTGGTTGTTAAAATGGTATTTGTAGCCCTCGTTGACCAGCTGATGAGCGCGTGCAATCAACGAGAGATCATTGACATGGCAGAACTCATCGGCCACTCTGTCTCCGAACAGCCATCCTAGAGAAGATTGTGAGCTATGTGTGTTCCAAAAGGGGGGGAGGGGGCAAGATTCTCACCTGCTCCTCGAGGACTGACAGCCCATGTCTCCACATCGTCTGGGTCAGACCACACGAGATCGCAAAAGGCACCTTCGTGGGGAATCTCCTGTGCGCGGGCTACCACGCGGACTTGGTCCAACGTGCGAATCTCAGGGCTCAGACCGCCGTGAACACACAGCACCTTGCCATCAATAATGGCTCCTAATGTCATGAAATCAAACACCTGGCAGCATGCCTTCCATACTGAAGCACTGCCGTATTTTTGGAAGCATTCTTCGTAGAAGCCGTATACCTGAGTAATTTGGCGAGATTCGTGATTACCACGAACCAATGTGACTCGATCGGGGTATCTATGATACTGAAGTCAGCGGTGAGTCAAGTCCACCGGGAGGGTTTGTCACTCACTTTGCTTTGAGACAGAGCAAAAGCGTTAACGTCTCTAGACTGAAGTATCCACGGTCCACATAGTCACCCAGGAATACAAAGTTCCGGTTAAGCTGGAGGCTTGCAGATGTATCGCTAGACGATCGGCTTCGGGAACTCGAGTCTCCATCCTCGTCATTGGAATTCATGTTGGGACCGCGAAGTTTCTTGCGAATTTTAGGGTCTGAAATACTTGAGGGGGGTTCGATATCGGCGGAGGTAATCACGGAGGGGGATGTCTTCGGGGGATCCAGTTCTGTACCATCAGGCATGCCCCCAGAAACTCGAAAGAGTTCCAAGAGATCGTAGAATTGGCCGTGGATGTCACCACAGACTGTGACAGGTGTCGATACTGGTTGGATATTTGATTCTGTCAACAAAGTCAGAATAGTTAAAATTGAGTTCAGGGTAGACACTTGCCCTCCATCATGTATTCCTTGACGATTTCACATAGCTGCTTCATATGTGGCTCCGATAGATACTTGCAATCCTTCGCTGCCTCCAGCCACTCGTCAGGGCCCGCATTGCGCTTAAGTTTGGCAGGACCCGGTTGAGGAATCTTGCTATCGGGCATGATAAAGGGAAAAAAAGAATTAAGTAGATAGAGAGATAGTGAAAGAGAGTGAGGAACAAAAACTTGTAGAAAAATACATGTCAAGGAGAAGTGCACTTGACCGTTTCCCCCGCAAGGTGAATTTCACCGCCTTCGTCTGCTGAATTGTCCGTCTTCGTTACGATTGTGCTCAACAATGTACACTCATTTCACCTTCTTTTTGATATTTGAACCTGGCTAACATTCAGTCTAGTACTTCCAAACCATTCTCGATCCGCCTCCAGTCAACCTTCTATCCCGCATGAGCACCCTCGTCCTCTAGACAAGACATTTGGACTTTATCAACCAGCTTTACTATACAATGGAAGTCCCGAAAAGAAGATCATCTGACGTTTATGCCCGTACATTCACATTGCTGGATCCGAAGTCACGATTTAATTTTTGCAATAATACTCCATACACTCGAGAGGGAAGATACGGTTATGTCTTACTGGGGTGAACGTTTAAGTGGTACGCCCGGAAAGAACCATAATCAACCATCAATTTTGCTGAGGAACTCAGTCACAACTTTCGCGAATGCCACAGGCTGCTCCACCATGGGCAGATGGCCAGCACGGTCGATGATCTTAAGATCGGCGCCACCACGTAGATCCGATGCCATTTTCTGCATTGTCTGCGGCAAGACACCATCATTGGCTCCGGCGACGAACAGACCTGGCACAGTGGCAGTAGCCATGCGATCGCGGATATCATAGGCACAGAGGGCCTGCACGCTATGGGCAAACCCCTTCAAGCTGTTGGTGCGTACAGCCTCCTTGACTGGCGCGAGGACCTCGGGCTGTGTTTGGTATGATTCCGGCACGAACCAGCGACGGGTGGTTACCTCGGCCAACTCTTCACCGACAATGGGCTCATTGGTGTCTGGATCGGTAGAGCCTTCCTTCTCGCAGATAGCGACACGGTCACCCCATGCCTTACGGTTTGATTCGGGGGCGGAAGAGTTGGTGTCACATGCGATGAAAGCTCCAACGCGTTCCGGGTGAAGGAGAGCAGTGTTCAAAACGGTCACACCACCCAGGCTAACACCAATCAAACGAGCGGCCTTGGGGGGCACACGCAAAGCCCCCAGCAACGTCGCCAGATCAGAGGCCAACAAATCGATGTTGACAGGCTGCTCACCACTCTGCGAGCGTCGGCCTCTAGTCAAATAGCGCACAACACGGTAGCGCTGGTTCTGTTGATGAGCAAAGAAGGCGTCAACAAAACGATCCCAGATGTTCCAGTTGACCAGGATGGAGTTGCTCAGAACGACGACAGGCGCGTAGGGGTCGGTGCTACCCTCCAAACGGTAGGGGATTTCAACACCATCAGAAGTAGTAATAAATGACTCAACAGCTGGCCGGGCGGCCGAGGGAAATGTGCGAGTACGGCCATCATTGGAGTTCCAGGGTCCCACCACATCCGAGGCCGCCAGGGAAGTGAGCTCACGGGGAGCAGGGCCGAAGGTGTAGTACCACTCATATACGCGACGCTTCTTAGAGGTGACCACCTCGTTCATCAGACGCGCTCCCCATGGGGTATTCATGGCGGCCTTGTGTGCATCGCCTCCAAGGCCATTGACGGGAGCATACTCGTGGAGAGCCAGCGATTCGCGCGGGGCGGCGGAATCGATCGCCGCAGTGACAAAACGCCGACTCCGACGCCATCCAGGAACACGGGAGAGCATCTCGAAATGTTCCTCGCGGTACCATTTTTCCAGGTCAGCTTGTTTGGTGGGGTCGGGGTGGGTGGCAACTCGGACAGCGATGAGGACGCTACCCTGGGTCTCGGCATCTGTATCGGCTTGATCTTCCAACGGGCGGAAGTTGGGGTTGCTGTGCTCATCCACTAGATCGTATAGTAAACGGCCGACATCGATCTGGGCCATAGTCTTCTTCTCCCGTTCAGTTTTAATCAGGTCGGTTCTTAGATCCAAATAGGTCTCGCGGGTCAACTCGTCCATATCGGTAATATCGTACAATGCCACATATTCAGGCTGCTCTCCATCGGTGGCACGGAAGCGGAAGCCATTAGTGATGAAGGGCAATCGCAGACGCAGAGGTCCATGCTCAGTGTTGTACCAGTCGTTGAACTGGGTGTCTGGCAGCGAGCCCTTGGGCTGCATTGTGACGTAGAGAAGACCAGGAGTAGGCATAATGAGAACGTAAGGGATAGGATTTCAATTCAGATGATTAAAGATGAGAATCATTCAAAAGTCAAAAACAGTAAAAAAAACCAAAATAAAATAGAAAGACATAAGAAGTCGGCACTCTACGAATTGCCCCTCATCCGGGTGAAAGCAGAACCCGAAGTTGACTGCCGATGACATTTCCGTTTCTTCACGATATTCTACCAATCATATTGTATATACTGTGTGGTGTACATTTTGATCATTTGCTCTAATTTATGCGTTCAATCATACCAGATGGCATTCATCCCAAATCCTTGCTCGGGGATATCCACACGCGCAACGCGTGCCAGCTTCTCGTCACGCCAGCGGTACATCTCAACAAATCCGAGTTGGTCGTCGCACAGTGCGAGCCACTCATCACTGAAGTCACAGGGGCTGACGGCGTTTGAATGACCACCACTGGTCGAGGTGGGGTTAATAAAGAGCTGGCGTTCGATCTCGCCATGCGAGCCGAGCTTGAACGCAGTGATGTAGCCGGTCACATCGAAATGGTTTGACCGAGTAGTCGCGAAAAGGTATTCTCCGCTCTTGGTACAAAAGGTGACATCTCCACGGTACTTGTTGCGCGGGGGAAGCCCTAACATAGAGATTAGTTGTTAGTTGTTAGTTGCCATTACCATCGGTCGCATATGTTCCAGGAGCCGTGAAACTCACCGGAAGGAAGTAATGGGTACGTGATGTGAGTGAATACTGGCTTGTGGGTGCGCTCATCGATCACGTAGACAGCCAGTCGATTGCCCGCCTCCATCAGGGCGTATAGGTACTTGCCGCTTGGGTGCATCTCAACCCAGCGGGGGTGGTCGCCAGCATCAGGAGCCTCGAGGCAATCCACCAGTGCCAATTCGCCCGTCTTGAGATCCTTGATGTGCGTCCAAATCTTGTTGGCCGTGAGATCGGCGGAGTACAAGTAGGTCTCTGTGGGATCGAACACCATGCCGTGGATACCAGTGTTAGGGACATATTCGTAGTTCTGGATGTTTTTATCCAGACCTCCATCGGGCTTCACGGAAAACACGTTACCAAAACCGGCGTGGTTATAGAAAGGGTTGCAGTAAACATTGTAGGGAGGCTTGTGGGCGGCAAGCACGAAAATAGCACGAGTGTTGGTCTCACTGCTGGGAGCCAGAGCTAGCGCGAATGGTTAGTGAGCGGAATTGGGTCTGTATCTCATTGACTCCTTGGGACATACGGTGACCAGCAACCGGATGTGACACTTGGTGAACGATCTCTGTCGGACTATTGACGGCGAAACTGTTCCACTTCTTCATAGCTGCGCCATATATCGCCTTCTTGTCGTGGGAGAAGGTCATCCATGAAATGGGCTCCGCTTCTGGGATCTCAGTCTTTTTTACTAATTCTAGCGTGAGGGCATCATCGTCAAATTGCACCGTATAGATGCGCCCGGGGGCGGTCCAGGTACCGACCATCAAATGATGCTTCATCTTGGCGATTGAGGTGTGAGAAAATGACCGATATTTTGAGGCAGATGCCCGTGAGAAAACAGAACGGATCATGTATAGTCGAAACTTGAATAGAATGAAAGTTCAATGTCATCCGCATGCGGGGAGGATATCGGCATCCAGGGGCGGCACCCTGCGGGAGTGTGTTTTACTCCAATGCCGATTTTGGGATGACGACTTTTTTGTCATTCAATGGAATCGAGTCTGATATTGTTTATTCTAATTTGATTTCAGATGTATGAACATAATTTGAAACTTATAATCAGTTCTGTGGTGGCTTTACTGCTACATCATTTAAAGCTCCAAGTGCCTTCTACCGTAATCCGGGGTAGCGTCCATGTACAACATATATACTAACTTCACGAATTGCTCTTGAGTTTGAAGTTATCATGTTGAGGCTCACTCACATCAAGAATATGAACTCGGCTTGATCCATTACTATTGCTTATCAACATGGTAAATTCCAACATCCAAGTTCTTGGTTTAGCCGGCTCTCTGACTATATATATCTGTATCTATGTACCAAGAAGTAAACCTGCGCTCTGGTAGATATTGTAGATAGTTGATCTGATCTGATTATTTATCATCTATTGGATTTTTGGCTTGCTCTTCTATACCCAGAGAGTATGTAGACATTTCTAACGGTCCATTAGTATCCCCAAGGAAAATGCCGGAGAAACACTCCCCCACATGGGCGGGTAAGGTATTTCCCACTCCTCGGCATCAACGATATCCCTTGACGATTGAAGAAACCCATAATACTTTGAAAACCCAGACTCTGATGTACGTGTTTCAACGTAGACTCACCATCCTCAAATATACCTTCGAACCAATCGGAATCAATCATACACGCACCATGCGCCTGCCCTACGCCCCTTCCACCGCGCCTGTCGATGCACCCCCCGACACCGCCGACATCTATGCCCGCATCGCGGAGCGCAGAAACCCCCGTCCTTTGATCCCGCTTGATTTGTCCCTCCTACATAGCCCACCTGTCGCTGATGGCTGGAACAGCTTCATCGGGGCTATTCGGTCGCGGACTCTAGTTGACCCCGGTGTTATGGAGTTGGCAGTCTGCCGTGTTGCAATACTGAATAACGCTGTTTACGAATGGAATGCTCATGCTCCACTGGCTCTGAAAGGTGGCATCAAGCCCGATCAATTACAGGCTGCTCTTACACTGCCTTGCACCGCTGAGGGAGATATTGCCGAGCTTGAGAATAGCGCACTCACCGCGCAGCAGCGTGCAGTTCTACGTTATACCGACCAAATGACTCGCATCATCAGAGTTCAAGATGATGTTTTTGCTGAATTGAAGACGGTCGGGTACGATGACCGCGAGATTGTGGAGCTCACCACCGGCATCGCCGGTTATAACTGTGTGAGTCGGTTCTTGGTTGCGCTAGATGTCGGCGAGAACAATGCTCGCGAGATGAAGAGTGTGGACGAGTTGGTCGCTACTCTGCAATAGCAAACGAGATCATACGAGAGATAACACCTGAGTGAAAGTTGCTACGAGGAGCGACAACACGAGGAGACTCTTGACGAACATTTGTACAACACTGAAGTCAGAGCCATCTAGATCTACAAGTACGTAAATAGGGGAAAATTTGAATAATGAATAAATGATGAATAAAAAACTTGATCTTATGAGCAATGTAAGACACCCACTAAACTACCGCTGATACCTATATCTTCCCTTTGCTCCACTGCTTCGCCTACAGGCACTGCGAGTAGTAGTCACTCTGTTTCTGGCAAGTGTAAGGGCTGGCACAGGTGGTTGCACCAGTCCAGTTATTCCCACCACACTGCGCATAGTGAGCAGCGCCAGTGTTTGATCCAGTCGTGGTAGTGGTCTTGGTAGTAGTGGTGGTGGTTGTGGAAGTGGTGGTAGTGCCTGCGGTGGTTGTTCCACCTGAGCCATTCGAGCCGGGGAAATAATTACTGAGCAGGCTCATGTAGTAAGTGTAGCCTATACCAGAAGGAGGCTCGAAGCTGTACATGTAGTCTCCCCACCATGGTCCGGCGGACCACCAGGACGCGCCAAGCCAGACATCGCTATTCGCTTGCAGGTAATCGAGCATACCTGTCACTGCACTTTGACAGACAGAATTGGCACCCCCGGCAAATTCTCCTAAGAAGGCCTTCTTGCCATTGTCCTTGAGCCACTGTGTGGCAGCCGCAACTCGTTCTTGCCCAATGGTTGAGCTAACACAGGTCTCTGATGTCCCCGAACCGTCAGAGTCAAGGTACTGGTGCATCTCGTAAATGATCAAGTTCTGTGGATCTGTCAAGGCTTTCATATTGTCATTGACAGTTGTCCATGTCCACGCGCCACTCCACGAGTTGCCCTCCACAAAAATATACTGGGATTTTGCTCCTGCAGCTCGGATAGCATTGATAGCAGCTTGGTTCAGGTTCAGCACGAGAGTTTGGTCTTCTGAATTGAATTCATTGTCTACAAAGTTAGTCTATGGCTTCGATTGAGGAATGGTGTATCTCACTTGTATCGAAGATAACCTTGTCATTCGACGCGAATTCCGATGCAAGGAGTGTCCAAAAGGCTGCAAACTCACTAGTAGAGGTGATTATATTGCCATAACTATGTAAATATGGTCAGATGAATCCCCCACAGAGCAGTGCAAGCCGAGAACTTACTATCGTCCAAAGTTGTGAGGATCAACAACCGCATATCCACCGTTAGATGTGATATAGTTGACAGTCTGTTGCACAATTGGAGTCAAATTTGTCTCATCCAGGACAGTTATACCTTATAAATACATACACTTTTCAATGAAGCTAGGTAGGTCGCATCCGCATTTGACGTCAGAGTTCCCGGGACCAACCGCTCCATGGCGAAGGGAATGCGGAATATGTTCATCCCTGCACTCTGCAGAGTGTGAATGGTTGTGGTAGATGGCCATATATAATCAGTGCCCAGTTCTCCTGGAATGTTCCCACTCCCAAACTCTGCGCCAGCTTCGTTTGCGCCGAACCCTATCCACGGCTTGGTCAGATGTCTGGCTACACCACGATTGTCAGACTTCATACAAACAAAGGAAGATGCCCTTTTGGATAGGGATGGACTTGGTGCTGCCAGCACTAGGCCTGTGGCACCAGCTATGGTAAGCAAACGGTTATACCGCATCTTGGGCAGGTACTGGAGGTTCTGAAGGGTACTACGGAATGTAGATGTATCGGGGGTCACAATGAGATTTATAGCAAGTTACAAGGGACAAGAATAGTAAGGAGCAAACTCCCTGATCGAGAATGGCTTCTTACCTAGGAGTGAAACTGTGAAGCTTTGCTTTGACGGAGAGGTCTGTGGGGATCATCTTCAATTCCTCGATTCAGTTTCTTTTTTACGGACCGCCACCCGAACTAAAATAGTTTTTGAAGAATAAATAGTTAAGATGTGAGAAACAGTAGTCTAGATTCGGCACGGCATCACAATCCCTTTGTGGCTGGGATCTCAGTGGTGAGATTACGTGGGAAGGAGGACGCCACTAGAGGCGCTTTGGAACCTGGAGAATGAAGGGCCCTCAATCCACAATAAAAGAGCCTGTGAGATGCTTTACCAACAGGAAGCACTTATTGCCAAGGCCGACGCTTGTCAGACTGCCCAGGCTCATTTCCGGCCATTCACCCGACAAACCCAACGGACTTGGAAATTTAAGAGGGAACTGGGGTAATAATATTGACCGGCGGGTATAGACCCTGACATCACCAGGCCACTCGTCCAGCCTATCTACTGGAACTTGTGCACCAGTTAATATAAGAATTATACATAGATAGAGACTAAATACTAAATAGGCAATGTCCAACAGCATTAAGAGGAGTTTGCATAAAATGCTCAAGGATGAACAAGCTTAATCAATTGCTAATTACCATTTCGTTTGTACATAGAAGGCGTACCCGTTTTCTTCATAGAATAATAGTAATAGCGTACAGGCCCGGCCAATGCAAGTTCCCCACGAAATCACCCGACGTGCACCGAATTTTGCATTAAATCAGCAGTCTATATCATTTAGCGTTATGGAATTAAGGAATTAGGGGAGACATCCAATGTACAAGCGAGTCTAATGTGGCTTGACTAGTCGGAGCATCCTCCGGTTTCTGCATGGCTTCTTCAAGACGAACAAAGTAGTGCCACATGCATCAGCTGGGTCTGGGAATGTGGGGTATTCTGCGCAGGAGCTATCGGCTCAATGATCCTGATTCTGACACTAGTGCTGACTCTGACTGGGGTCTTGCAACGGGCATCGGTTATTCAAGGGAACCGGATAAATGAATCTCATTTCTAATAGCCCAGTGGAAATTCAATTTCGCGATAGAATTTAGTTTAAAACAGACACTACGTATCTGAAAGACAAGTAGAAAAGTAATGGATGGGAATATTACGGTTATATCTAAGGGGGCCTGCGGACATTGAACGGACAAAAGAGAGGGCAGCCTAGAAAAGAATTCTAGATTAAGATCGTGGAATAGGAAACAAAACGAACGAATGACAGATTTCAATTCGAAATTAAATTAAATGAAATTCTCAAGTTCCAATAGTAAGGTCAAAAACAGTCAATCTAACGGAGAGCGTGACAAAATTGATCCAATCGTCTCCCATTCTTCACCATTCTCCACCCTCCACCACTAGACTCTTAGGGTTGCCTATTGCCTATAGGCACTGCGAGTAGTAATCAGTCTGCTTCTGGCAGGTGTACGGGCTGGCACAGGTGGTTGCGCCAGTCCAGTTATTCCCACCACACTGCGCATAGTGAGTAGCGCCGGTGTTTGATCCAGTCGTGGTAGTGGTGGTGGTGGAAGTGGTTGTTGTGGAAGTGGTGGTAGTGCCGGAGCCTGGTTTGGACGAGCTGAAAGTCGAACCGAGAGGACCGACTTTGATATTTGAATAGATAACATAGGCGTTCGCATGGTTAGCCTCAACATCGGCAGGCTCACCAGAGGAAATGTCGCAGCTACCACGAGCAGCACCAGGAGTAGTTGAAGAGGCGGTGGTTGGATAAGTGCTATCGAGCCACAGCATGTTGGCCGCGTGGTCATCCCAGAGACTCATCACGAGAACCATGCCATCGGCAAGACCAGCCCCCATTCCCGTCATACCTCCATGTTGAGCGAATACGTCCGTGTCCTTGAATGCAGTCTTCTGAGCAGAACAGAAGGAGTCGGTGATAGAATTGCCAGTAACAGCGCTGATGGTAGATACAGACTGAGGAATAACCTTCCCATTCTGCACATAGAATCGCTTGATTTCCGAGAGCGTGCCGGTGGATGTACCGTCACTGGTGATGAACTGAGTAACCACAGTGAAAGGGGACTTGGTATCGACGATCTTGCTCGGGCCATAGAAAGACTGGTTGCCCATACGATACGGGTTGAAATCACATCCATCAGGGTCACAAGTACCACGATAGCGGTCACTGCTGTATGTGCCGCCACAGGCGTCTCCGTTGCACCTAGTCTGGGCTGGGTCATCGCAAGGGTGAGGCGTTACTGCAGTGGAGATTGAGTTGGCCTCCCAGACATCCATCTCAGCACAGCAAGAGCCATAATTGCCAGTACCAGCGTTGACATCGTTGGAAGACGGCTTCCACCCTTCCACGTTGGCCTGGCCGTTGATGAACTTGAGGTCACGCGGACATTGCGCATCACAGTAACCGGTACCATACTTAGCACCGGCTTTGTTGGCAGGGTATCGTGCCATGCCACCATCTTCATCCATGGAAACGAAGTACAGCGCACCATTCAAGCCACAGGGCAGGTTCGAGACGTCGACATCGAAGGTGAACTCCTGATTGAGCAACTGGAACTTTTCGTACTTGCTGTCATCCGCCATCAAGTAGAGACGTGAGCCAATGTTCTTCTGATATGCCTGAGTGACGAAGTTCAGCCGCAAAGAGCTGCCGCTGGCGGTAACACCGTAAGTGCCTGAGTAGTCGGCACCTTCTAGGGCGCAATTGGAGGCACAAGTAACATCATCCGGGCAGATAGTGGTATCCCATTCATTGCCAGTATAACAATTGGTGGAGCCGCCAGTTTTGTGAACCCAACGCCAGTTGGCGTCGACGACAACCTTGCCGTTTTGGGAAGTGCAGCTGCCTCCAGTGGTGCACCTTTGCCAGGTCAAGGACGGATGAACTTCAGCAGTGTTTGTGCCCACTTGCTGTGCCTGTGCAACGCCGAGAAGGGTGGCAAACAGGAGGGCATTCTTGTACACGTTGAAGGAGAGAGCGGAGGCCATGATGTCTAGTGTTGATATGCACCGAGTTGATGTCTGAATTTACTGGGTGGATAGATGAGGAATTTTGAGACTGAGGTGGACACAGAGTTCCTTTTATATTTCAGTATGAACTAGAGAGGGTTATCAGAGGATCCATACCAAGGTTCATGTCACGGCTCTACGGTCCGTATGACCGCATGAGGATAAACTGTCATGTTTCCCAATGGAGAAGGACGAGAAACACTCCGGGGACACGGAGGGTGTTCCCTAGACCCAGCGACGGGGTTCAGAAGTAATTCAAGTCATTTTGTGGAGGAGGCGCCTTGGGTCTTGGTGCCATCGAGATGGCTGTGACCGAGATGGCTAGGAACATCCCATCGCATGGTAGGGGGAAAATTTTATTCGGCACGCTCAACTAGGCCCCGGCAACATAACTAGATTGAATTGAGAGCCATTGGTAGCTAAAAGGCTAGCCTCTAAATTAGGCAGAGACAACGCCATGTTGTCCACGACGCCCGACTTGGAGAAGACAAAACTTGTTAGCATACCCGGATTGGGAAAATTCCTCAGATCCGTGACAAGGTGGTCACTTCCCCGGATTCTGCAGGATCTAGACGGACAGGATTTGCCCCCATTGTCGGTAATTTGCGTTCGCTGCGCGTATTGGCCCGTAGGAGTTCAATGGGTGTGCGTTAGCGTAGTGAAGGTAATTTAGTTTAATCACGAGGATTAAGGAACCAATGCCGAGCACAGGCCTGTTTACCAAAGCAGTAGTCTCATGACAGGTGAGATTGATGCATAATTTGGGGGTTAAGTGGCTGGCGCTAGAGAAACAGTAAGAAGACGGAATTCGGCGACTTATGTGTAACTATCAAGGTGATATTTTAAACTGTTTATTCTAAGGAGACTAAAGTAAACAAAAGAAGGCCAGCGGATGGGCAATCCCGCCAGATGAGTCATCACCGAAACCGGCAAGTGGGATACACAAGAAGAAAAAAAAAAAAAAGGGAAATCCGAGAAATTCCTCTCCATCTTAGCCATTTGAAGGAATACCAGCGGATTCAACACCGTCTTCTCATTTATTATGGCTTCTAGCTTCATTTTGACCCTTTCCGGCCCTGACCGCCCCGGTATTGTCCACGCGGTCACTGCATTCCTTGTGCAGAACAACCTCAATATTATCGATTCGTCGCAATTCGGTGATCCTGCCTCTAAACGCTTCTTTATGCGGACACAATTTGCGATTGCAAGTGGAGATGAAACCCCCGAACTCGAGAAATTGCGCACTGCATTCGAGCCTACTGCGCAGTCGTTCTCCCTCGACTTTGAGATCAACCCCACTGTGAAGAAGCCCCGCGTGCTGATCATGGTCTCCAAGATTGGCCACTGCCTCAACGACCTACTATTCCGCCAATCTACCGGCCAGCTTAGCATTGAGGTGCCCTTAATCGTTTCCAACCACCCAGACTTCGCTACCCTCGCGGCCACCTATAATATCCCATTCCACCACCTCCCTGTCACCGCGGATACCAAGGCGCAGCAGGAGGCCCAGATTTTGGAATTGGTGAGCCAACACAATGTTGATTTGATTGTGCTGGCCCGGTATATGCAGGTGTTGTCCCCAACCCTGTGTTCCGCCATGTCCGGTCGCATTATCAATATCCACCACAGCTTCCTGCCCTCTTTCAAGGGTGCCAAGCCCTACCACCAAGCCTACGACCGCGGTGTGAAAATCATTGGTGCCACTGCCCATTTCGTCACCAGTGACCTGGATGAAGGCCCAATCATCGAACAGAATGTTGTTCGGGTCAACCACGGCATGAGCCCTAAGGAGCTGACCCATGCTGGCAGCAATGTGGAAAGCAACGTACTCGCCACGGCTGTCAAGTACGTGACAGAGCGCCGTGTGATTTTGAACGGCCACAAGACTGTTGTCTTCAACTAATACATTTGAGTCTCTACCCAATTCTGCAATTCTTGCACATTTCGCTATCATTAAATTATCACCTGAAGCGACCCTTTTGCGATACCCCATATGGTCAATATTATATAGACCATGGGACTGAAAAGAAAAGAAAAACAAATCCGTAACTTGAAAGTATATAATATATGTATACATATAAAAATGACTTGTGGAATTTATTAGATTTAAATTCTGAAGGACTCCTTTTGCTTTTTCTCTCCAATTAAGCGAGCTGTCTAGCGGGGAAGACAAAATTCAACATCTGCACTGAAAGATTCCATCCACACCTCGAACCAAGATGGCTTATACCGTGGCTCCGCACCTTGAATACTTCACTATCCCGCTCACGGATTTTGTGGCCGCTCGACCTGAATTTGAAGGGTTTGGTGTCGGCGCGTACGTTTTTTCTCATGCCAACCCCACCCCGCGCATCCTCCTTCTTCAGCGCGCAATGACGGACTCAATGCCTGGCTGCTGGGAGGGCCCCGGAGGCGCATGTGAACTAGAAACCGACAAAACTTTACTCGATTCCCTTGTGCGCGAAACGCTAGAAGAAAGTGGATTGCATGTGTCTAACATTATTGACCTCGTTGCGGTGGATTGCTGGGAGCATCATCGCCGTAGTGGCGGCAAAATCCGGATTGCCAAGTACTCGTTCATTGTGGAGGTTCAAGAGGCGTTGCGATGGTCAGCAGGAAAAAAGCAACCGGTGCCAACACTCCAAATACCTGTTCAACTCGAGCCACTGGAGCACCAGCAGTTCGACTGGGCAATCAAAGAGGACGTTCTGCTTTCTGCTCTGTCACCCAACGGTCGATACAAATTCCCATTGCCCTTAATTGGTCACCAAGCACCTAATATCCTCCGGGCTTTTGAATTGGTTGAACAAAGGGAGAGCCGGAATGAATAGCCTGAAATTGCTCTGTAATGTTCTTAACGCGTATTTATATTGAAGAAAACTCACCACGTCGCTCTCTTTTCTTCCCAGTTGTTTTGGTTTATTTATTACTTGAGACCATCGAGTAAAATGGGCGCAACCACCACGAACGGTGAGATTACGAATGGAAGATAGCTTAGTGGGGACGGACTTTATTTTATACACAAACGAAAACAAAACGACCCCCGAGAGGACCGGCAAAGAACGCGGAACGTCCGAGTCACCCACTCGGATGGGTTCATTATTTTGCCCTAGCAGAACCGGAACTGGGTTTTGAGGACCTAGGCGGGACTTCACCAGGCATCGGCTTGCGAGCCCACACTCTTCTGCTGCACTGGTGGTCAGTTCTGTTCGACGAGGAACTCGGAGGGGATGAACATATCAGAACTTACGCTTTGTGATACGCATGGTAGTATGGGTTCTTGAGTTCACTGCGTATCTTGGCACAGTATACATGAACTTGCTCCTTAGTCCACGGCTCAGGGTCACCAAATTTCGTTAGCAGCCACATGCACCATCCCTCCATACCAGACATCCAGTGTTGGCAATTGACCACACCTGCCTCCTTGAACTTTTGGTCTTTCGGCCATGGCCCAATTGGCCATTTGTAGATCTTTTCGTGCACGTCCACAAATCCAGCGTTCTGGATGCTCTCCGACATGGTGAGGATGATATCGCAAGAGCGACCAGCGCGGTCACCGCATGTTTGTATAAGCGGACCCCACGAGGACAAGGCACTATCGGCTGGGAGAGTCCCATCGTCACTTGTGATAAAAGGCCCGACCTCGATTTGTTCGATCCACCCCCCAGGGGCCATTTTCCTATTTTATGGTCAGATAACCCCTAAAGGTGTCATTGATAAACCTACTCAAAACAATGCTTGTAAACAAGGTCCCACTCAGAAGAGTTGAATGATCCGATCATATTGCGCATGTGAATTAGATCAAATTGTTCGCGCCATGTCCACTCTTGCAGCACATCATCAACCTCGATGACGCAATTGGGCGGCATCCAGGTCACCGGAGGTGGGAAAAGGTCAACGCCTCGGACGGTAGCATTCGGGAGCATATCAGCGACATCGCTAAGAATGATGAGTACCTCAAATCCTTTTGCACTGGGTACAGACGTACATGGCCCAAGTGCCCTTTCCGGTTCCGATATCGAGAACCTGTAGCGGGCGTTCTCCGTCAGTCTCGATGGGTGACCGAAACAGTGGATTAGCTCGATCTGAGTCCATGATGAGATCCACGAGATGCCTGCGGTGATAGTCAGAGGCGTGTTCTGGACTGGGGTTTTGAAATATGTACCCTGCCTCATAGGTCTCAAATTGTTGTTCATCGGATGGAATACTGGAAATGAATGAGTCTATTTTTATTATGCAACATTTTTAACCACATACCAATATTCTTTGTTCGAAAGCGATTGATATCTATAGGAAAATATGAGGTTATGATGAATAGATCCAATATGAAGCTCTTACCGCCTCCCATTGTCCATTAAACCACGATAAATTGACGACCTAATCGAGGTAGTCTCTCTAATGACGCGTAAGGAACATATTGAGTACGGTATATAAATGATCACATGCAAACTCACGACTGCCAGTCATCGGGGCTATAAGCGCATTCAGGGGCGTACAAGTCTGGATCCACCGCGATGGCCTCCATTATTATCTCTTTGAAAAAATAAAAATAAAAAATAAAAATAAGGCCGAGAAAGGAAAAGCAATATACAATACTGTATACGGAAGTCGGGGAACAAGGAGAGAGAAGAGAATAATAAAACTCTGGAGAGATCAAGGCTAATATTAATAACCCGTGGGCCTTTTCGGCTTTTCCCACAAGGAGATCGCTGATTGGCCGCGGAAACGGAAACTTACCTTTGGAGGCTTGCCCAACTTCGTCAACTTGGAACTCGAAACCTTGGCGTTGTCATTCTCCACACGGAAGAACCAACATCTTCCCGCTTGGTCTGCTATTGGTTGATTACATTAGTCACGTACTGTTCGTACTATTGTAGTCCTACTATAGTTCATAACTTCTACTGACAGGATCCAAAATTACATACCTTGGAATTCTTACGCTATTCATGAGTATGTTACCATCCACGCGCCTTCGGCTGTTTGCTAACTTGTTATAGATCGGGCTGTGGGAACCCTTGAAATGACCATAGCCTTCTCTAGTCCCAAAGTAATTTGGGCCCCGCAGGGTCAGATCGCAAGAGATGAGTTCTGCTGTGCCCTTCCAGCCTAGGGCTTTGTGGCAAAGCATGAACCCCGCTATAAAGGTAGCATTAGAAATTCATGCATGTACTTCGTAGCATCTGCAAGTCAAGTGCCTTCGGTGTTGGGGTACCCATTTCCGAGCGGTGTGCACGGCGAGTATTGCGAAGGGCAGAGCACTGTGCAACCTCTTTATAGCCTCGGAGGATTAATATTTAAGACATGTTGACCTAAGGACTAAGCCTAAGGAAAATATCGACCGGGAACGATGCCTGAAGATAAACCATCGACTCTCGATCAACTGATTCAAACTTTAGAACACATTCGGGGAATACCTATGGACGTTTCAGATGGTGAGTATACTTGAACCCCTCTGCGCCGCCTGCCCCGATTCGGACTGATAAAAATTTCCCTTGGGCTTTTAGAGGCATCTCATTCCACACAGAATACTCTGCAAAACCTAGACCATATCTCGACAATGCTTCTCCTCGATCATACGAAGAAACGAGAGGTTAATGTCCTGACCGATGTCCTTGAGATATGCTATCAGCCTGCCATCCTAGGTGGCCTAGGAATACACCAGGATGACTCTGACCACGGAACAGGAATCTTGTTTCTTGTTTCTTGTGGACGCGTGGCTCGAATCATTCAATTCAGCCGACCGAGGAAAATCAATCCCTTGCCTTATAACACAAAGGCCGGAAGGCCTCCAAGGAATGACCATGAGTGAAAAGATACTTGCAATGCATGATTCAAATCACAAAGGTTCCTGGCTTCAAGAGACATAATTCGTGTGTCTGTTGATTATATATTTGCCTCTGAGGTATCTGAGGAAGTAAGTAAGTGTACTCCTCGAGGCGCTGTGAGCCTAGGGCTGATTGTGAATTCCAAGGGAATAGAAAAGACCTATAATTCGTTTGGAAAGCTTAGAATAGTTCAAAACCACCGCTTCTGGCTTTCTGAGGACCATTTCGTCGATCCTAGAGTCAATAAGTTACCTCAAGTGCAGGCACTAATCAGTACAAGTGAGGGAGTGAAGAAAATTTCCAAAATGACGGAATACGAAGGCATGAATGTCGGTTTTTCTCATCTTTTTTTTTTCGTGTGTTTTTGTAATCGCTGAGTCACATGTTTGAAGTATACTATCCTCCACTAAACTCTACCGGGGGGAGGCGCTTAATCTGGAGTGCTGGTCGTTGGCTCGGACTCGCACACATGTACATCAGGGTCAGTGTGATGCCTCGCAATTGGACTAGGCCCTGCGGATATCATTTTACCATTGGTAACTTTGGAAACGTGATTCAAAGTCTCAGAAGCCATCAATATAAGCCTGGTTGGAGCACCGAAGCCCGAGATCGGGGGTAAAGATATCATTTCATACATCTTATAAGTGCTTAAATGGAATAGCATAGTATCTGATACAATCGTGGTTCACTAGGCCAGGAGTTTAGCATTTATCCCTTGATGCCCACTTCGCAGTTTCAAACACGACCACGGGTATGTTATAACCTTAAGCAGTTAAGCCAAATCAACTAAGATGGATTATAGGAACTTGGCGGCATCACTGGATTATTTGTGCCTGATGATATCACCCAAGAGTTCGTCAATTAACGAAAACTTACTCGTCACAAATGCAACAAGATATACTTCAAGCCCGATGTTGGTGCGGAGTATGCGGCAAATCATGAGATCGATCTCACGAGCGTGAAGTCTTTTATCGCATGATATCCCTAGCCAGATTATGTGGTTTCAGTTACGGATGAAGGAATAGAGCTAGATGGATGTTTTATCGGGGCCTACACTACCACCGAAGAAGGTTTGATCTTCGGTGCCCTAGTGATTGAAACAAGCAATGAAAAAAAGGATCGAAGCCTACCGCAAATGGAAAGAGTAAGGCAGTCCCCGGTGTAATGCCAATACTATATCACTTACGTGAACTAAAATTATGCGATGTATACCGAAGTGGAATTTAAGATCGGCATGCCTGGGTGCAGTTATTGTGTCGGAATGTCAGCTGGATAGGCCTGTCTAGGAGAGGTCTGGATTTCCTGCTAGAATCGCAATTTCGAAAATCAGATAGGTAAAGGTAACGAGAACTCTCTCCAATTGCCATGGAATAGTCGATTGAGAGCGCCTGGTTTCGGTTCGATTGGTCATCTTGCCTCTGCAGCCACTGTCGCAGCATGATCATTTGAAATGAAACTAGTAGATCCTAGTGACCTGTTTGCTGCAATCAATATAAGCCTATGGGGCTATCTTAGAACAACAAGTATACACTTGGATGGGGCTCACTCAAATAGCGACCTGACATATGTTGAGCCATGTGATGGAGGTGATTATGCTCGTGCCGTAGCCCAGCGGCGGAACCAAACAGAGAAAAGGCGGATAGAAAAGGATGGAGGAAGAAATATGAAAATTCTCCAACGGAAAGTGCAGACGGAGATTTGGAGGTTTCATCGACACGGCGTTTCTATTCTTTGTGCTTAGGGGTTTTAAGTAAGGGCTGATGGTTGTCTAGCTGGCCCCTGCTGAGTTTCTGATTGGCATGAAAAATAACCTGAAAGTGGCATATGCTGTATGGTGCATACACATCTAAGATTCTGTGAACGAGCCCCGCAGGGTTTCGGCGTTGTTGGTAGTGGTGGTAAGTAAGGGCTTTGGTTACGGATCATCCCGCGAACAAGTAGTGATGGCATTGTTAGGCAATTCAAGTCCAACAATCTCATCAGAAGGAATCAGACATTTCTTTGGCCACGGGTTGCTTTTTAGGATGCGGTGTTCAATGTATCATAGCCAAATCGTTTGCGTTCATATTCCAATGCAACATGCCAAACCTCGGCCCCCTAGGCATCACAATGGAAGACGAATCTTTTGTTTTTTAAACTTGCGAATGATGGAATGTCAATCTCCATCGATTTAAATTCAAGAATTATTGAAGTCGATGGGGAGACATTCGGACTCAACTCAGTCAATTAGAAAGCGAGATCTTCCAATTTGGTGGAATTGCTTTGGCTTCCGGACTCTTCTGGAAGAAGCTGCCTGAGGCAATAACCCCGGCCAAAATTTCCCGAAGAATCCAAAGGAAGATAGTAGAGCAACTAGACAAACTATTTGAATGGTAAAATATCGTACCTAATCACTCTATCTTGGGCTTAGGGCTTATTGTGGATTAAGCTCTTAGAAATGGAAAACGGGAGATAATTGCTGGAAGCTTATATTTGCTACGGAACGATCACGCGAAGAAAAATGGAGAATGAGGGTTCACTATGTAGCTATGAAAAGGGAGCCTTTGGAGGAACATGCTGCTTGGCCTGATGAAGTCATGATGTGGAAGTAAATCAAGTAAATATCTGGTACTTAGTCGTATTTTAAGTGAAGGGTATTGTCGGCTATTTGGAGAGAATAATCCTTTCTATGGAGTGTTTAGACTCATAATAGAACTTAGTTTTGTCGGACGGGGTCGTTGCCCCGCGCCTCAAGAGGTCCGGGAGTCAGGCATCCGTGCCCGTGTATCTGACCCTCTTCGATTCATCAACTTGACACAATTTCTGAGGATAGTGACTATACCTAACGGAGTCTGCACTAAATACATCGCAATTGGTATTCTTTACGAGTTTGACTCAATATGGGTTGTCCTTTCCGGTGTACTTTCATGGGCTATGGAAGCCGAGTAGGTAGAGTGAGTGTTCGGTGGCATAGGAAAAGTGGTCCCTCCTATCTTTTGGGATTATTAGTACATGTTCCCCATCGTTTGCGGGAAGGCACTATAAGCCTGCATTTGGTTTATATATCCAATATTTCTCGTTATTTTCCCTCGGCCATAATAATATGAATCGGGTTGCATGTTGGACCAACTCGACGAAATGGGTAGATGATATATATATCTGTTGAATAATGGTCATCAAAGATATGTTCCACATCCGAGGCTATGAGCGTCACAGATTAAGTCGATGTATTATTTCGCCTTTCTATCTACCTGCCATCCCCGCGTTATCTCATCTTTCATTTTAAACACCTCAGTTGCCGATGCCACCTCTTCCGTGGCTAGAAGAGCAGCGGAATGGAAGACCGAGGCACCGGTGATGTTGTGAAGCAAGCCTATATTCGATGCCCTCACACCACCTCCAACAATGATTTCTGGAACTTTGTTGTTCTGAAATTTACTTTCTCCTTGTAGTTGCATTTTATAATGTATTAGAGTTTGCAGCCTGTCAACGCATTCCATTGCTCGTGTTCCTGAAGCACCACCATTGGTTAGGATGGATGTAAAGCCGCATTCCATGATGTCGGACAATGCGTTCTCCCAGTGGGATTCGGGAATAACATCAAACGCACGATGAAATGTACAGGGGCGCCCGTCAGCTAGTTGGACAAGCTGCTTGTTACGGGATACATCGACCCACGGCACATTCGGATCACAGGTCTTTTGTGAAGATCGATTCAAAATCCCGAAGACGAAACCGTCAGCCCCGCAGGACTTGAGAGAATTGAGTGCTTGTTTCATCGCCTCAAAGTCAAATTCTTCGTAACAGAATCCTTGGGCGTGTGGGCGAACCATCGTGTAGATCGGTATTGTGAGCTGTGATTTCAGTTTTTCGAGAATATCTGTGTCGGCCGATAGCCCACCGAGATGGTAGTCTTTGCATAACCTTAAGCGAATCAGAGGAGCGTTACCTCGCAATAAAAAAAAAGAACAGAAAATTCGCTGCAAATGCGTCCTGGATGGAGCCGTGTAATACTCACTCGATGCGGTCCGCTCCTGCTCCTGCAGCAACCACGGCTGATTCTTGATTGAAACAGGCAATCTCCAGGATCGGTCCTTGTGAAACAGCTGGAATCATGGCTTTATAACGGCTGTTCGGAGCTAGCTTGTATGGAGTACAGGAATAGGTGTGGGAAAAGGGGGCTTTTGTAGGCGCAACTGACTGTGGACGAGTCACCTGATTGGTGATTCTAGAACCGAGCCCAAATACCTCTTATGTAGGTGGTGGCCAGATCTTTATATTATTCTATCTATTTCAATCCGTTGTATCTTCCACATGTATCAATATTGGTATGTAGTAACTATTCATATGGTGTTGTCACCAGAGCGGGGAGAAACGAGTCGAAAGATTGGGAGTCAAAACCTGGGAAGCCTGCAACCACACTACCTGATCTTTCCATCCCCACCATCCTTGCACCTTTTCCACCATTTTCGCACCCTTCGCGAAAAATGTCCCAACGACTAGTTATCGCAATCGCAGGACTTGCTTGTGAGACCTCGACCTTTACCCCCGCTCGAACACCCGGCGGGGCGTTTCACCCGCGCCGTGGCAGAGAAGTGATTGAGAAGTACGCTTTTCTGCATCATGGCACTCGACTAGCAAATGTCGCAGATTGGAAAGGTGCACTCATAGGCCATGCCCTTCCTGGTGGAGTCGTGGTACGAACTGATTTCGAACAACTTTCCAGGGAAATCCTGGAGCGGTTGGCTAGGATGGTCGCTTCAAACCCCATCGACGGATTATGGTACGATATTCATGGCGCAATGTGTGTTGAGGGTATGGAAGACGTGGAATCAGAGCTTCTCCGGCGGATTCGAACAGTGATTGGCCCAGATGTTTTGGTCTCGGCATCCATGGATTTGCATGGAAATGTGTCCAGGAAGCTGGCCCACCAGACTGACTTGATCACTTGTTATCGCATGGCACCTCACGAGGATGAACTGGAAACAAAAGAACGGGCGTGTCGCAATCTTGTCAATGTTTTGACATCGCGACCTGACACTTGGAGAGGGAATAGACCCCTGAAAGCATGGGTCCCAATTCCCATCTTGCTGCCGGGAGAGCAGACTTCGACTCGCAACGAACCGGCAAAAAGCCTGTATTCGCTCGTTCCCGAAATTGAAGCGATGGATGATGTCCTTGATGCAGCCATATGGGTTGGCTATGCTTGGGCAGACGAGCCAAGAAATCATGCCGTAGTAATGGTCACTGGGTGGGATAGGGCTACTATCAACAGAGGAGCCGGGCGACTTGCATCTTTTTTCTGGCGTGTCCATAAGGACTTCCATTTTGTTGCACCGACCGGCTCTTTCTCCGAATGCATTGACAACGCGCTGGCGTCCTCGAATAGGCCCTTCTTCATCTCTGATTCAGGAGATAATCCTACTGCTGGTGGGTCGGGCGACGTGACCTTCGGATTACATCAATTACTAAAGCGACCGGAGTTTCGGAAAGATTCCAGTCCATCTGTGATTTATGCTAGTATTCCGGGACCCCAGGCAATTAACATTATAATCAAGGCTGGTGTCGGTGCTATTGTTACGGTCACTACCGGGGCACAAGTGGACAGTCTACATGCTGGGCCTATCACCATGACTGGACGCGTTCATGCTATCCGGTATGGGGATCGCGATGCTGAAATTGAAGCAGTTCTACAGGTTGGAAGTGTGTTTACCATTGTCACAAAATTACGCAAGCCGTATCACCATGAGAGTGATTTTATTGGACTTGGCCTTAGTCCGCGTACGACAGACATCGTTATAGTCAAGATTGGCTATCTTGAGCCAGAGTTGTTTGATATGGCGGCAGAGTGGATGCTTGGGTTGACTCCTGGGGGCGTTGACCAGGATCTGCAGCGCCTTGGGCATCATCGCATCCTACGTCCAATGTGGCCATTTGACAAAACGTTCCATGGGGCCCCAGACCTCACTCCACAGCCGATTCCATTCTCAAACGAGGATTTAGAAACGCGGCAGGAATGAAGCTTTTGACTACTACGATACCTGGTTATTCAGGCTTTATTTCTAGTAGTTTACATTGTCGGACTATCTAGATAGTTCCTTTCCTAGTGCATATATTCGTTTATCTCACTTCCTTGGCCTGAGACCTAAAGCCCTAAGGCTCCTATTGCACCCTAACGTAGCCGTCTGACTTGTACTGGGTAAATTGAAGAGGGCTAACCGACCATACATAATGGACGCATATTTCTCTGCAGTTGCCGACTAAATTGCACCCAATTCCACCACTGAGCCAGTAATTCTATCATGTACACGGACCGAATTCGCTTATTTGATCATCGATGACATAGTGCCGCTACCTAGTCAGAAACCCCACATGATCGTGACTCATTCTGGTGCCACTTTATATTTATTATCTCTGGCCATCGAAAATAGGAAAGCTTTATTATTTGAAAAACGAAAATAAAACACTCCTCTTCATCGTTGCCACTTTTCTGGTAATGTTATCTAGCTCTTCCAAGGTTTTCGGCTTCACTGACGTGATATAGTTGGAAACGTGTTTCGAGGTCTTGCTATGGCTTCCGGGAAAACGAAAACCTGCTTTGCCACCTCATCCCCATACGAAGAAAAGATTGGTTACTACCGCGCCATTCGCCATGGTAATCAGATCTTCGTTTCCGGAACTACAGCGGTTGATCCTAGTTCTCCCACCAATGCACCGCGAATTCTTCACCCAGAAGACGCCAAGCAACAGACGTGCGTTGCTCTAGAGGAGAGTATCCGAGCTATCCAAGGCCTTGGTGGTAGGGGCGTGCAGGATATAGTTCGCGTCAAGATGTTTGTCAGTCGCCATGAAGACTGTGAGGCTGTGGGACTAGGATTTAGTGAGATATTGGGCAAGCATAAGTGTAATGGGAATGGTATTATAGGAGCTGCTGCCACAATGATTGTGGTTAATGGCGGTTTTATAAATAAATGGATGCTTGTTGAGGTTGAGGTAGATGCTATTGTGGAGTAGATTTGAAACCCCACAATGCTATTATGTATCAGGAAAGGTCTAGAAAGACGTGAAAATGCATGGTAGAACAGCGAGAGAAAGAAGGTTAAGAAGGCAACTACTACCAGAGATTACGATGACAACCATTTTCACTACTTAAAGTAATCAGAAAAGGAGAAGACGTTGACAGAAAGCTGGTGTACGAACAATGTACGGTATAGATGACCAATGTTCTCTAACTCACTAAAATGGCAAAATCCGCTATTTCAACAATCTGTGCTGACATCGATGACTAACTGTAATATACACTTTTGTATAGTATGCCTAGTACCCAATGTCATATGATATTTCCGGTATAATACCTAACGTATTCGATAAGCGAGTGGCCATCTCCAAAACGCATAGTAAATGCGATAGATTACAACATAATATCTCAACAACGGCGGTCTATAGGACCTTTTCCTTTTAGAATATCGGTTTTTATAGGATATCTAGTCTCTTTAGGGAGTTTCGAGAAATTTAATGATTCGGTGACTAAGATATATATATTTCTAATTTTTAGTAACGTAAAACCTATAATTTCCGTTTATCTAATAACGTACGAAGGCTTAAATATAAAATAAAGAATATCTATTATAATAATAATAAAAGTTAGAAACTATAAAATAATTAGCTAATTAGATTAGAACTATATAAAGCTATTATTTAAAACCTATAACTCGCGTTTATCTAAACTTTATATAAAGTACCTATAATAATATTGATTGATTTTAATTAAGATAAATAGTTGATATATTATTATTATAGTCGAAATATATCCTATAAGTATATACAGTCGTACCCTATTAAAAATAATTCTAAATTTTAATCGGGTACTACGCCTTTATATATTAATTGTTTGTTTTAAAATTTAAGGACTATAATTCTTCAGATATTAATTAGAACTATATAAATTTTTAGATTGATTCTTATATAAGAAGTGATTCTAGTCTACTTATAGCCCCACCTTTTTCTCCTCTAGTTAAGCCAAAGTCCTAATTCTAGTCTACAAGACTACGCCTACCCCTATGGGATAGAGGCCGGGTTTCCGTTTCTAAACTCGAGAAGGATGGAGGGAATAAAGCACCCCTAAGGAACATACAATGAGCAACAGTACGACCCTGTGTTCTCCTTTGGACCGAGCCTATTGTCTCAGTGATATCTAAGTCGTTGGATATGCCGCAGTGTAGTGCTGGTAGAAATATGGCCGCTTCCTGCGTTGCACTAGCCGTTATATGGGCAAAGTCGGAGCAGATTGTTTTGCACAGCAAATCTTCTGATAATCGAACTAGTACTGGCTAGTTCTAATCTGACATGTTTTCTTCGCATTTTGCTCCCTTTGATGGTATAGCGCCGCAGATCGTAGATGGACCTCGTACAACGAGGCTCAAGTGAAGAGACACCTTATTTTAGTGGCACTGGAAAATAATTAATTATGATGTACATCGTATTTCTTGGATTCCTCAAGATTTAAGTGGCTTGTCGATCTTCGAAGCCCCTGCCAAGCGATCTCGGATTTGGTTAGACCCTGCCGATCGTCTGTGCTCGTATAGCAACGGGTCTATTTCTAGCGGTGTACTGGAGCTTTCGAATCACACTTCGTATTTCTTCTGGATATCTTCATTTAGGCATTTTTGGCCCCAGGGTAGGATTGATATTCAGGATCTTCCTCGTATTATGAGAAAATGATACTAAAATACGAGATCTTTGCTGATGATTTTTCAACTTATGGGGAAATTAACTCGAATACGAACTTCACCACGGCTCCAACACATTGTTCAGGGTGGGGAATGACTTCCGAGCTTTCGTAATTATACTTTTTAACACTAATTTTAGACAAATCTGCCTCGGAAATGGTACTGTGAGATTACCCACCCTAGTCCCATCGCGATCAATCTCTGGTGAAGATAGACATATCAGTCAAGGTATAAGTATCCAGGTCCTGCCTTATGCACAACATTCCAGCTCTAAGTTTCAAATCAATCAAAGTCTGCAACATCTCCTGTGGCCATCGAAAGGAAACACATTTGTCTAAAACGCAACATCTCTGACCGAACAACGACCAATACTCAGAATTCACATTCTTGTCTCTCTTCGTCATTATGCAGCTTACCAACTTGGCTCTGATCCTAGCTGCGGCTTTGTCCATGGCTAACGCATACAAAATCACTACCAATGATGTCAACTGTCGCAAAGGAGCCTCGACTAATGACGCGGTTGTCACTACGTACGCCAAGGGTGCCGAAGTCAAAATCTCCTGCCAGACTTACGGTGAAAACATTGAAGGCAACTCTATCTGGGACAAAACCTCTGACGGTTGCTATGTTTCCGACTTCTACGTGAAGACCGGCTCGGATAGCATGGTAACTAAGGACTGTGGCGGCGGCAGCTCTGGCGATGGGAGCTCAACCTACCAGGGCGAGATCAGCCGCGAGGAGATCCTCTCCCGTGGTGAGTACTGGGTCTCGCGTCACGTGCCATATTCTATGAGCGCCTATTACCCAGACCCTGATGGCCGCAAATACCGCACCGACTGCTCAGGCTTCGTTAGCATGGCTTTCCATGCGTCTGCTCCAGGCCTCAGCACTGTCAGTCTCCCTGAGATTGGAAAGGCTATCTCTTGGGAAGACATCCAACCTGGTGATTTTGTTGGCACCCTTGGCTCCGGTACTGGTGGCGCTGATGGCCACGTCACCCTGTTCAAGTCATGGGCCGACGGTTCCAAGAAGGAGTACAATACACTTGAGTGCCGCGGTACCTACGGCTGTGTCGCGTACAAGCGCCCTGTTGGTTGGAAGGTTGGTAGTCACACTGCCAAGCCCTACCGCTACAACAAGGTTAAGGAGTAAATGTGTGCGTGGAGGATTCCAAGGTTGAGAAGGAACGGGGCGAGTCTTGATACATGTATAGTACTTTTCATGAATGTGGCGGCTGGTCAAGTGCGGGGATAGGAATAGCCTGAGGCTATATATAGTCTAAAGTGAACTATCGTGTTCTTTGATCCTGCGAACGAAAGCCCCCGGACACAAAATTGTAGATGTAATAGCACGCTCTAGTACTCAGAAATCCTGATGCTATCCACAGTGATTTCAAAGTGGAATCAGCACGATTTTAGGTAGATTAATCATTTATGTAGATTAATTAAATCGTCTCATCTGACAGCTATGACGCATTGGGAAACTTGAACGAGCGAGGGAGCGGGCGGCATATTTGAGTGTGATTCCGATCCAGTTTACTCGATAGTCTTCTGAACAAGAATTTATATCACAACCTACCTAACCAACTGCGGTTCAAGCCGACACAGATGCGCACCAAGGTCGCCGCCAGGGCTAGCCATGATAATTTCTCGACGTTGCTCCTGGGCAATCCCAACATACTTCTGGTTAAAAGCCTCATCCCCAGCACCATCAAGTCAAGCAAGCCCACATTTCTTCCTATACGTAGAAATGAGTGTCTTCGTAACCACGCAAAGATGGTGCATCCCCACAACGATGAAATTCTGATGAGCGGCGGTAACCCCTGTAAGGGCATCACCGGCACGATATTTTATGACATTCAAAACAGGGCGTTCAGATACATTAGAAATTGGTTTAGATGTTTTAAACAGATAAACTATCTCAAACGCTAACGCCCAAGGGGATGGTGTAACGATCTAGGCCCGATATAGATCACGCGGTCAGAGGAACGCTATGCTAAACGATTTATCAACCACTTGGTGAGCCCTTTTTTTGCGAAAAGGAACAGTTCAGTAGTTCTGAGGCATAGCAAATCCCTGTGACCCAATGAAGAATGTTTTCGCCAGGGAAATTGCCAATACTATATGGTCTCACTGGCGGCCCCACATTAACGTGGTTTACTGAACGTTTTCATTTAAGTCAGGCCCTCTCATCAGGAATAGCCAACCGTGATCGTAGTGAAGGTTGTCCAGCCGAAAACCTCATTATCTTTGTTCCTCTTTCCATGATCTGGAATATTGCCAGAGCCATTCGTGATGCTATTTTTCGTAGCCTTGATTGACATATTGCTTCCCACGATGAAGGGATTACTTGAGCGCAAGCTGCATACATCTTGAGGAAAGTCATTTCTGAGCCCTCTGTGACATTTCAAAGCTGATCCTCTTAGGGCGTATGACGATCACCAAATTTGATTGCAGGTTGAGATGTGCAATAATAACAGATCCTCCGAATTAATATTATCTACCAGACTGATCATTATACGAGTGCCTAGTATTGCCGTTGAAGTCGACTCCAGCGAATGCCTGTCACCCCCTATCCTTTGTAAAGGTAACTAACCACTTGGACTATTTGGGCTCATGCAATAATATCCAAAATATGTCTGCATATGCATTACCATCGATCTGCAAACCAGCTGTTCGTCCATCGGGTTTGCTCTTATCGAAGAAGTAAAACCTGGGCGCACGAGTTAGGTACAATAAATACACCTCCTGATTATGAAGTGTAAAAAAGAGATCGAACCTATAACCATCTTTATATATGCGTTGGCGGCATATTCTACAAGTATCGCTATAGCCACTTTCCTAAGTGCAAAGAGCATCACGCCTGGGATAGCGATCTGGCTCAATGTGTTAATCGAAGATATTTTATCTTTAGAAATAAGAATAGTTTCTTAAGTATTATAATAGTTAGATATTAAATTAAAACTTAGTAGTTATAGAGTAGTTAGATACTAAAGATCCTCTATCCCATGGGGGTGGGCGCAGTATAGTAGACTGGAATTAGGACTTTGTGACGGAAAGCTGGTGTACGAACAATGTATGGTATAAATGACCAATGTTGACAACTCTAACTAACTAAAATGACAAAACCCGCTATTTCAACAATCTGTGCGGACCATGATGACTAACTGTTAGGCCTTGACAAGTCCCGCAGCACTAGGCCTTTAGTTCGGTGCTGCAGCACTAAGGCTTGGTAGCACTAGACACTTGGTTCGGTGCTGTAGTGCTGTAGCGGGAGTGCTGTAGC